CATTCCGGGTTGGCCGGGGAAAACCGTGAAAAAGTTTCGGGGGTTTTCTCCCGGGGCCCCGGGCCCGGGGTTTCCCCAATTTTGTCATAGGGTGTTTGGCGGGATTAGGGCCCCCTCCCATTCCCTGCTGCCGGGCCTTAATCGCCAGGGGGCCCCTTTGTACCCCCCCCCCCTTGCTGCTGCCAGGTCCCAGTCTTCAGGGGCCCCTGTAGGGCCTCCCTTTGCTGCGGGCTCCATCGCCACCCTCTCCATGTGCCACTTTCAGGTCCCCTTTCACACTGCTGGGGGGTTTTCCATTTTTTGTCATGGGGTGTTTGGCAGTTTAAAGGGGCCCTCCCATAGCTGTTTGCCGGGGCCCCAAAATCTGCTTGGGCCCCTATACCCCTCCTCATGCTGTTTCCCCCAGGCCCCAAAGCCCTCTCATGGGCCCCGGTAGGGGCCTCTGTTGTCGCTTGTTGGCATATTCCGCTGTTCAGATGCTCTTCTCCTGCTAGTCCTCTTCACGGATTCCGTCAGCAGTCTTTCTTGGAATCCGTTTCCAAGAGACAACAGTTTGCGAGCACGCACCCGACGGTGCAGAGCTGAACGTCCTCCTGTCCAAGTTGCTGCTGCAGGCTCGTAATCTGCCATGCGCCCCTGTACCACGCCTCCTCATGCTGCTGCCAGGTCCAGAGTGTGTCAATGGCCCCCGTACCGACTTCTCATGCTGCTGCCAGGCCCGTAATCGGTCATGGGCCCCTGTACCGCCTCCTCATGCTGCTGCCAGGTCCAGAGAGTGTCATGGGTCCCTGTACGGCCTCCCATTGCTGCTGCCAGGCCCGTAATCTGCCATGGGCCCCCGTACCAACTCCTCATGCTGCTGCCAGGCCCCGTAATCTGTCATGGGCCCCTGTACCGCCTCCTCATGCTGCTGCCAGGTCCAGAGTGTGTCATGGGTCCCTGTACGGCCTCCCATTGCTGCTGTCTCCATCGCCACACTCTGCCATGTGCCACTTTCAGGTCTCCTCACACTGCTGGTGGTTTCCATTTTTGTCATAGGGTGCTGTATGGCCTCCCATTGCTGCTGCCTCCACCGCCACACTGTGGCTCCACACTCTGGTTTTGGCCCCGTGACTGCCCAAATGAGTGAAGTGTGCGGTGATTCTAAGATCGACGGCACTCATCTGCATGTCATACTGACTGTCAGTATTATTTCTCTTCCCCAGCAGACTCCAAGGGCATTTAAATTAAAGGTACAGTGTTCTGCACTAATATAAAGGCTCTCTGAAGCCTAGAAACACCCTTTTATAAGTTAAATTCGCAGCAAATATATTCGACTCGAATCTAAATTTTTTCACGAATTTGCTGATCAGTCGAATCGAATTTTTGAATAATTCGCTCATCTCTAGCAATAAATATAAAGTGCAGCGCTTAATAAATATATCAGTAAATGAATAAATAGCAAGGTATGAGCTTCTGTAGACAAAAAAATTATTAATAGTTCAAAAATGGCACAAGTGATGGTTTCCTATGAGGCAGATATCTCAGTAAACTTGTGACTGGAATCAAAATGGAAGGGATGCGCACTCACCAGAAGCGCATGGAAATTGCGCATATAGATATAAACCACAAGGTGATGATCTGTAGTGGACAGGGTGGTGAGCTTCCCTCTAGAGACTGGTCATCAAGCCTGGTTTAGTCTGAGAATCTGCTGGGTCCAGCGGTCCCCTTAAGGATGGATGGGCGCTCAGCCTGGATACAGGGCTCCCTCCTCTGGATACCGGATACCGGATATAGGAACTTTCCTTTAAAAGATGGCCGTCGGGATTCCTCGTGGTTCCTAAGGCCTTTCGTGCCTCCCATCAGAGGGGAGGCTGATGATGTGCCTTAGCACGAAAGGCCTTAGGAGGAGCTGACAGAGCGTGACATCAATTTGCCGCAAGAGCCACGAGGAAGCCCGGCCATCTTTTAAAGGAAAGTTCCTATATCCAGTATCCAGAGGAGGGAGCCCTGTATCCAGGCTGAGCACCCATCCATCCTTAATGGGACCTCTGGACCCAGCAGATTCTCAGACTAAACCAGGCTTGATGACCAGTCTCTATAGGGAAGCTCACCACCCTGTCCACTACGGATCATCACCTTGTGGTTTACATCTATATGCGCAATTTCCATGTGCTTCTGGTGAGTGCGCACCGTTTCCATTTAGATTCCAGTCACAAGTTTACTGAGATATATGTCTCATAGGAAACCATAACTTGTGCCATTTTTGAACTATTAATAATTCTTTGTCTACATGAGCTCATACCTTGCTATTTATTCATTTACTGATATATTTATTAAGTGCTGCACTTTATATTTATTGCTAACATTAAAGTTCAGCCCCAGCAATCAGGGTGTCAGGAACATCAATTTAGGGCCCTCTTCCTGCATACAATGACATACAGTTCAAAGTACTTTGGGAACACTGCGACACAAATACCTAGATGTGCGAGGCAGAATTCAACTTCTTTATTATTGATCAGGCCTCAAGTAATAAAAGTAATTAATGACAACACAGCATATTTCAGGCGGTTTCCACAAAGCACCAATCAGAATACAGTAAAAAGATTTCAGTAAACTACTACATGGCTAATCATAACAGAAATGCAACAGAGTAGTAACTTCTGCAATTTCTCAGGGGAAAAACGTGTGCATAGATAACAGCATTTCAATCCCAAGGGAACATCTTGAATGAAATAAACCAGGTAGTAGGCACAAAGCAAAAGTTAGTTAACTATTAACCCTTTCACAGGGAATACGTTTTTATTACTTGATTTATTTGTATTCTTGGACACTTTGTATGGACTGACTACTCTAAAAAAATAATTCAGTTCATGTTGTGTGCTTTGGTATCGATGTTGGCAAAGAATGATCCGACCCTGTCCATTCAGATGACCTGATGTGACAGTTGAGCATCGGACAATTACACTTCCAACATCTAAAGCCCTCATTAGCACAAAGTGAGATTTTGCAGCTTTTTGAAAAATCTTCATGGAATTTGGCCAATCAGAGAAGAAAGGTGTTTACCACATGTGCGCCAATTTAATCAGTAGGTACTTGCACAACAGAAGGCTGTAAGTCTGTTTTGGGAGACATCTGATGGTCCCTGGCAAGCCCAAACAGTATGCTCATGAAAGGTTGTTGGTACCAGAAGTGTATTAACTCATTTAGTATTGAAATCTGTTTATTACTTTCTAAATCATACATGTCTTCTTTGTGTGCAAATTAGGTCATGAGTTTGTCCCCAGCTCCCCTGTCATTACTGATTAAAGCAGCTCCAATCTTAACAGAGGAAATGTATGGCGACATCCAACCAGCGGCTTGGGAGCTGCTTCTGAGTGTGGATGAACACATGGCTGGAGCAGCAGGTAAGAGACGTTCCTCTTTGCATTGAAAGATGTCTATCTTATTACTAGGTTTTACCAGCAACCATCATTGTTTAAAGTGGTTTTAAAGGTAGAAAGTTTATTTACCTTAATGCATTCTATGCACAAAGGTAAAATGCCATCTGCATGCACCCCCAGCCCCCCTCCCTCCATACTTACCTGAGCCCAAACTCAATCCAGCGATGTGCATGAGAGCAGAAGCTCTCCTGGGTCTCTCCTTCCTCGTTGGCCCAGAGACAGCAGTGGGAGCCATTGTGTGAGTGAGCCCGCACTAGTGGCCCAAAACCATTGCACAGAGCAGGTACGTATACCATGTCTGTTATGTTAAAAAAAATATAAAATGTAAGCCTTTACTTTAAGATTTATCATAACAGACTATATGTACAGAGATGCAATGGTGAATACCAGCAAATAATTATGTGTAAATAAGGGGGACAAAATGTCATAGACCAGGAAAGGCTGTCCACCAAAAGCAGTCTGGAATGTCCTTTGTAATAGCTAATTTCTCAGTTCCTTGCCTTTTTTGGGACACTCCACTTTGATGGGTTCACTCCAGACATAAAGAACAAAAAGACTCCAATCTGACCCCTAAGTAAAAGCACATTTACTGTGTAGAAGATGCAGCCATAATAGTCTGATACTGAATCCCCTCGCGGAAAGAACGAACAGCAACATAAACTGATCTGTTTTCTGTAGCATTGGTGTTCATTGTAAAGCTCTTATCAAATATGTTGCATTCAGTTGCCCCCATCCCACAGGAGAAACAGCGACAAGATGTGGAAAGAATGTTAAAGCAATAAATATATAGAAAGAGAACTAATATTGCTATACATAGGGATTGCTGGCCAGTGGTATCTGAGGTGTTAGATGCAGATTGAATGTTAGAAATCCAGTTAGATTGTTCTACAAATTGTTTTTGACATTGATCTTTTGTGACTTTAAAATCATTTTGTGAAAAATAAAAAAACTGTTTTATATATTTCATTGTGAGTGATGCCTCAAAAGTTAGAATTTGTTCATTGTATATTTCGGATGTGGTGCCCAGTTTCACCATCATAAAGTAGAAATCATAATCAGTTTCATCATAAAGTAGAAACAGAAGAGCGAGGCTAGAGGAAATAGAGATCCTAAAATTGTGGAAGTGTTGAATTCCTGTGAGATTTGCAGTGTATCTATCCAGATGCTTAAAGTGTACAATTTCAAAAGAATGGGTATACATGTAACTATTTTATCTACGGTACTTAAAATAGTTGTAAACCTCAGACAGGAAATTTGAACAAAGCATGTCCCTCTATAGTTCCCTATAGAACCCTATATTGTTCACTTGCCTTTTTCCAAAGAAATAGATGTCAATTTTCTCTGCTGCAGTGTTCCTCTGTTATCAGCATGAATGACTTCTGGAACGTTTTCCTGACACCAAAAGGTAAAAAGGGAGGGATCTCCAGCACACATCCTGTGATTGACAAGCTCAGTCCTGTTCTTGTGTGCTGTGTGAAGGGGTTTTGTTCCTTCCCTCCAATCAGCTCTCAGAGCTCTTGTACACTGCAGCTACCACTATACAATTTATGTCGGAGGATTTGCTTTACTTCTCTGTATCATCTGAGGCCATTCACGTTATTGGGTATAGGTAAGGGTTCACAACCACTTTAATTGTAGAACTGTGGGATTTTAATGTGGTGACAGGGTCTCTTTGATGAAAAAACTAAATGGAAGTGGAAGCATTATTTTGATATATGGAAGTGTCCCCAACTGCTGAGTAAGAGCTGCTCCCAGGAGCTATTAGAGGAAACTCAGCAAGACAGGCTGCCCATTCAGCACAAAATCAGATTGGGATACAAAAAACAGTATAAATGTCTGTGTATTAAAAATAATGCAAAATCAGAATCACAGGTATAAATCACAGGTATAAACAATCTAAATATAGCCATATATTAAATGAGTTACTCAGTATATTTACTGTAGATCCAAACCAGTGTTGTGGGAGCCACATAGACAGTTAAGTGAGAAAATATAGAAATTCATCTATAATTAAAAGAATCTATTTAATAATGTTTTCACACAAGATATATACAAATTTCAATTTTTTTTTAATTGGAAAATCTCCAACAAAGGCAATATTAAACCACAAACCAACATTTTTATATATTACTGTTTACTAATCACTAGTTGTGTTGGCTGCATTAGTTTGGCTTTCTTCCCTCTGTTTTCACCTAGTGATCTAGCCAGTAACACATCTCCCGTATTAGGGTGCCTACACTCTGGATGGAGGAGCAACAGAGACACCTTTAGACAGCAGCATTGTCAGTCTTGGGGGGGGTGTATTATATGTACTAATAGAATAAATTGAATACAGTAACAAATTGAAGCCAAACTCTAGCTAACACTTTCTAAACAGTTACAGCAAACTATATTTAAATAAACTTTTGGTGTAAAGGTTTTACTTAAAGTGTTACTAAACCCACAACAGTAAAATCAGTCTGTATATGCAGTAAAGCATGCTTTTTATACTCACTGTGGAACCTAAGGGGTTAATCCTCTGCATTGTGTAAAAAGGCTGTTTGATCCTGTCTTCTCTGCCCCTCCTCTTGTTCAAATGTCCACGCTGATAAGACAGACTGAACTTGTAGCTCTTCTGCACATGCTCAGTTTGGTGAGTATTGTTAGAGAGGTTTTTTTTTCTTGGGAGATTGCATTTGATCAGCACAGGGCCAATCAGCACTGTCCAGACAGAGGTCAGGGGTTTTGCAAGAAAACCCCTCCTACAAGCTTTCACCGTTGCTCAGCTGAAGTCTCAAGACTGCTCTAACTGCTGGTGAGAAAATGTATTTAGCAGTTTAAATTTACTAAAATAATTGCATTTCCATGCAGTGTGTACTGTGGGAGACCAGATATAGTGGATGCAGGGTCCTGGGTTTAGTAACACTTTAAGTAAATAAAAAAGTCTATATTTGTAAGCACACCTGTCAGTGGTACTGTAAATGGATTGTCTCAACACTTTAATTGTTACATCTGCAGGAAGAGCTTGATCTGTTGAAAAACAACAGACTTACAGGCCACATTACCAGGTGACAATAAATAAAAGAAAGCTAGAAAACTAATGCAGCCACCACATCTAGAAATTGGTAAGCTGCAATACAATAAATGTTTGTTTTTGGGTTTTATTACTGCTTTACAGTACCTGGCTGCTCTGAACAGGTCAGGGGCATCAACTGTTCACAGTGAAAGGTCCATTGAGAATTAGGAAGAGACTGTGACTGCTATCACAGGGTCATAGATCTGATTTACCTGCTATTAAAGGACCAAGACACCAAGAAACCCAAGGAAGTTAAAAATAAGCTACACTAAATTGGAGTTGAGGTTTACCCCCAACCTTTGTGAGACATTTTTGCTGGTATCCGTTTTGAGTATCCAGGATCTCTAACCTTTTACCAATACATTGTAATTTGAGGACCAACTTAAAGTGGAAGTTCAGGCAAAACCTAACGGGCAGCACAGTGGCTAAATAGTTAGCACTTTTGCCTGGCAGTACTAGGGTTGTTGGTTGAAATCCCAACCACAGCACCACCTGCCCTGGAGTTTGCATATTCTCCCTGTATCTGCATAGGTTTCCTCCCACACTCCAAAGATAGGCTGGTAGGTGAATTGGATACAAACGGAGAAACAGAAAAAGGGCGGACCGAACTAGTGCATTATCGTTTAAAATAATTTATTAAAGAAACAAAAATAGGTATCATACTTACAATGAACATAATAACACAGGCATGTCAAACTGAACAAGATGTATGATCCAAACAACATCTGAGTCCATACGATGGAACCCTGGATGACCAACTGGCTAACGCGTTTCAAGGACACAACCTCTTCCTCAGAGCCAGAGGTTGGCTCTGAGGAAGAGGTTCTGTCCTCGAAACGCGTTAGACAGTTGGTTGGATCATACATCTTGTTCAGTTTGACATGCCTGTGTTATTATGTCCATTGTGAGTATGATACCTATTTTTGTTTCTTTAATAAATTATTTTAAACAATAATGCACTAGGTCAGTGCGCCCTTTTTCTGTTTCTCCATTTGTATCCAGTGTATTCGGACCACCCCGGTCTGTTGAGGGCAGCAAGCAGTGCATATTCCAGAAAATTCCAGAACATTCCTATTGGGTCTACTGAGTCCTTTCCTAGCGCAGGAGTAAAGTGTTCGTTGTGTTGGTAGGTGAATTGGCTCTTGTCTAAATTGGCCCTAGTATGTGTATGTATGAATGTGAGTTAGGGACCTTAGATTGTATGCCCCTTGAGGGTTAGGGACTGATGTGAATGTACAATACATATGTAAAGCATTGCATAAATTGACAGTGCTCTATAAGTACCTGTAATAAATAATTCAAGTCTAAACCTACTTCCACCCCTACTCTAAGCCTATTCTATCTAACCCTGTAAAGAAAAGATCTGGATACTTACATAATGTGAAGCCACTCTGGTCTCCAGCAGTTGCTTCTCTGTACAGGAGAGGTCGCTGGAAATGGCCGATGACATCACCCATAGACCTACTGTAAGGCATCTGTTGTTGGCTGCCCCTCCTCTACATAGAAGCTGCTGATCCTGGGACCAGACAGGAGCAGCTTCAAAATAGGTAAGTCTACAGATCCTTTCTTTACAGGGTTAGATAGATTAGCCTTAGAATGGGGGAAGGAGTAGGTTTAACCTTAGTTAGGTTTTGCCTGAACATCCACTTTAACTGGCCAATCAATTTGTATACAGAAACCTCTTGCAGTACATATTTGTTGGCAGATCTAAAGTAGATTGCAGTCAGGTTGTAATGTGCATAACAAAGTTATTGGCCTGACATACACCTAATAAAATATAAATGCTATAATGCCAAAATATTAAAAAATGTAAACCTCCCAAGTATACTATCACTATTTAGGGGTATAGCTGGTGGGGATATCTCGTGGTAAACATGGAAAATTACACTCAGTGTAAACTGGCGTGGATTCAATATAAAAATCCACTAACCTCTCTCTTACATAAATCTTTTGCAATAATTTACCAAGTCAAGAGGCTATACTGCTTAAAGGATAAGTTCACCTTTGGGAACATCTTACATATTCCACCCGTTTTTAGACCGCCCCCCCTCAGACAGATGGTACAGAGAGAAGTCTCCCTGTACTATCTGTCAAATTTGAGGCTATGGGAACATGTTATATGTTCCACCCAAAAAACATGTTCCCAAAGGTGAATTTATCCTTTAATGGGACAGGTGCAGCATTGGACCGATACTGCATCCACCTAGGTGAGTATAATTGTTTTTTTTTTTTAATCCTGCACTTCTCTTTTAAACATCCTGAGTATGGTTAACATTTTAGAATATTTTAGCACAACTATGCCTTAGGACTCAACATGTTAGCACTGATCATGGTTCCTAGCTAGGACAGTACTGGTAAGGATAAATCATTTTATTTTCTGTACTTTTGAAAAATTTCCAGGGATGTGGAATTATCTTACTCTAATAAGTAAATGTGATACTTTGCTCTTTAAAGGAAGGTTTTTAGAAGGCCAGACAGCTAAGATATGAGCAAAGCTTCATTAGTCTTACTTATCCTGGAAAACCTGTTTCATTTTGTCCTTGTTTGCCATTTTATTCTAACTAAAAAAGTGTGCTTATTTCAGAACAGGCAATTTTGGGGATATTACAGATATAATATTAACTGGCAGTAGCTGTGAAGGTGAGGAGTGTGGAAGTATGAGAGGGGGCAGTATGTGCAAGAGAACAGTGTGGAGGATATGACAGCAGGTAGCGTGTGTGTGGTTGAAGTCAGAGCTGCTGTTAGAAACCATACAGCCAACCTGACAGGGCCCCCCTCATTAAAGAAATACAGTTTATTATGCTTCAGTTATGAACAAACACAGTGATTGAACAGTAGTGATCACGTATTGTGTTCATTCAGGAAAGGAAGGGGCTGGTTAATGTAATAAAATTACCAGACCCTTTCCCCTCTCTCCATCATGAAAGATCCTATCGTGTCTTTGCAGCTGCCGGTGAGAAGGAGAGGAGGGAAGCTGGAACTGTGGAGGCCCAGGCAACTAGGTGAATATCAGATGAGCACAGGGAGGGTCATCGGCTTGGTGGGTGGGGGAGAGGGACAATTCTTGTAACTGATCCCCTGTATGGATGTCTCTGCTGCAGCTGAAAACCAGCGGGAGACAGAGGAGAAGAATCCAGCTTTCAGATGATGCAGAGAGAGCCATACAGGGAACCAGTTCCTGTAAATGTTCCCCCATCATGCCGATCACCCTCCCTGCCCACATACAATTCACTCAGCTGCCAGAGCCCCCCCCCACTGGCCTGGGCCCCACACAGGTGGATTGGTGGTACCCCCTTATCCGCAGCCCTGGTTGAAGTGCTGAGGGGATAGCCTTAAGCAGTATGTACAAAGAGGGATAAGATTGTGAAGGTATGACAGTGGGCAGCATGTATGGAAAATAATTGCATGGAATATGACTGTGGGCAGTATGTATAGGAGAGAAGTGTATATGGTTTAACCCCTTCCCGCCGGCGCCTCCCAGACCTTTAAGAGTTTCAGAGGCCAGGAGGGGGGATGGGCGGGGTTTAGGGATCATATGACCGCCGTGATGCATCATCACGGCGGTCACATGATCGGGAAAGGTCCGGATTGAAAGAGCAGACCGTGACCGTTCCGTGAGTACTGGCCCTTTCCGTCTAGGCCCAGACGCCGGAAGGCCACACATTTGTGTGCGACTGGCGTGAAGAGGTTAATGATGGGTAGTATGTGTAGAAGAGGAGTGCAGAGGGTATGACATTGCACCCAATGTTTGAGAGGTTGTGGGGCGAGGATGCTATGAGATTGTACACAATGTACAGATAGGATGTGTGAGAAATAGGTGGAAAGAAGTGAAAAGCGGGCATTCTTTAGTGCAGGGGTCCTCAAACTTTTTAAACAGGGGGGCCACTTCACTGTCCCTCAGACCGTTGGAGGGCCGGACTATAGTTTTAAAAAAAAAACTATGGTTATCTCCTGTACTGTATCCGCATTTGTTCAGAGACTGCGGACATACAACGGCGGTAGGAATACTGGGCCGGCCGCTCTATAAGGCGCACAGACATTTCCCCCCAAGTGTGTCTTATGGAGCGAAATAGTGTCCCATCATTGGTATCAGTGGGAGGAATAGTACCCCATCATTGGTGTCAGTGGGAGGAATAGTATGTCATTGGTGCCAGTGGGGGGGGGGGGGTGGAATAGTGCCCCATCGTTGGTGTCAGTGGGGGGAGGAATAGTGCCCCATCATTGGTGTCAGTGGGGGGAGGAATAGTGCCCCATCATTGGTGTCAGTGGAGGAATAATGCCCCATCATTATTAACAGTGACACCAATGATGGGGCACTATTCCTCCCACTGACAGCAATGACACTTAACTAGCCGACCCCTGTTCCAGCATGGTGCTGCTGCAGCCAGCATACCTGGTTGCAGCAGTACCATCTGCACGGCACACTTACCGGGCGGTCAGCTGTTCTCCTTCCTTCACTTCGGTCTCTCCCTCCCTTGATTTTCGCGGGGCCGCTCGGCTCTGCCTCCTCGCCGGTGATTGGCCGCCTGTGTGCCTTTCCTGTGCTACAGTACTGGCGCCCAATCACCGGTGACTGGGACCGGAGCCAGGTAAGAGACAGCAGCCCCTGTTCGCCCCTGTACTTAGTGTCCCCTGCCGGCGGGCCGGATAAATATGCTTGGCGGGCCGCATGTGGTCTGCGGGCCGTAGTTTGAGGACCCCTGCTTTAGTGTATATTACTTTGCCTTTTTAAAATAAAGTTTTATTATTTTTACTGTGAAGGAAAAAAGGATTGAGTGTGACTGAGTGCTATATGGCTGTATTCTGTGACTTAGGCTGGCCATACACTGATTGAACTTTGCCCGATTCCTGATAAACAGGCTAAAATTTACTCTATGGGTGGTCCTGCCAGCCACCTACCACCTGATATTCCTTGATTGAAAAAGCCAGGTCGGAGTTTATCAGTTGAACAGCACTGGAATACAAACAGATGCAGCAGCTGTTTGAATATCTTGACAGGCAACAGGAACAGAGGAGGAGAGGAGCAGAGACACACAAGGAGAATATAACATTGAACAGGACCTCTGGGGGCAAGTGAACACTGAAAAGTTGAGCCAACAGGCAGATGGGAGCATACTGTCTGGGGATGTAAAGCTAAACAGGTGCAATAAGCCTTTAGTGCACTTTTGTTTTTATACAATAGAGGATATACAGTAGGAACAGGGGTATTATCCTTAACACCCATCCCATTAACACCCCACTATAATTTCTAGTGCAATCTTCACCAGGATAGGAAGTAAGAACTGGAGAAAGTGCAGAGAAGGGCAACCACACTGATAGGAGGTATGGAGGAGCTCAGCTATGAGGGAAGATTAGAGGAACTGAATTTATTCTCTCTTGAGAAGAGGATATTAAGGGGGAATATGATCACCATGTATAAATACATTAGTGGTTCATATAGTGAACTCAGTGTAGAGTTATTCACCCTGAGGTCATCACAGAGGACAAGGGGGCACTCTTTACGTATGGAGGAAAAGAAATGTAATCTCCAGACACGGAAAGGTTTCTTCACAGTGAGAGCTGGGAAAATGTGGAATAGACTCCCTCAAGAGTTGGTTCTGGCCAGCTCAGTGGATTGCTTTAAAAAAGGTCTGGATTCTTTCTTAGATACACAGAATATAACTGGATACTAACATTTATAGGTAAAGTTGATCCGGGGAATATCCAATTGCCTCTCGGGGGATCAGGAAGGAATGTTTTTCCTTGCAGGAGCATATTGGATCATGCTTTGCTGGGTTTTTTTTTGCCTTCCTCTGGATCAACTGTGGGTATACGATTATAACTTTTTTTTTTTTTAATGGTTGAACTGGATGGACTTTTGTCTTTTTTCAGCCAGACTAACTATGTAACTATGTAAGGGAAGATCTCCCTAACAGGGTCACAGACAGATAAAAATCTCACAGAAATGTTAACCCTTCCCATATGAAAAAAAAAACAACAAAGAAAAAATTGGGACTGAAGTTAATATAGTACACAAGTGTTTAAGCGGAGGTTCAGGAAAAACCTACTCCCACCCCCATTCCAAGGCTATTCTGTCTAACCCTGTAAAGAAAATATCTGTATACTTTCCTATTCTGAAGCTGCTCCGGTCCGGTCTCAGGATCAGCTGTCAGTGGCAGCTTCTCTGTACAGGAGAGATCGCCGACAATGGTTGGAAATATCTGGGAGATGACATCACCCATAGGCTTTCTATGGGGTATCCATTGTTGGCTGTCCCTCCTTTACATTGAAGCTGATCATGTAATTTAAATGGAGTGGCTTCAGAATAGGTAAGTACACAGATCTTTTCTTTACAGGTTTAGATAGAATAGGCTTAGAATGTGGGTGAGAGTAGGTGTAGCCTTAGTTAGGTTTTGCCTGAACTTCCACTTTAACTATTTTATGCCTGTAGCCTCATTTTTTCCTTTCCTTTTTAAAGGAATCAACACCTCCTTCCTCGATCTTTCTCCTTTCTCTACAGAGAAACAGAGAAGAATACCATTTGGATATCATCTTCCACAGCTTATTTTACAAAATATCTTTATGTCTGTTTGTGGCACTGGGTTTAAACTAGGAAATTCTGTAATAAAATAAATCATTGTTGCTAATGTATATGGTGTATTAAATACCCCTTGCTTTCTTGCAGCTGCCATGTTCTTGCTTTGTGCTGTCAAGGTACCAGATGCTGTCTCTGAGATGTTAACATCAGAATTCCAGCACCCAGAAACAGGGCAGAGGCTGAATGCTTATTCTAAAGTTCCACACACTCTGGAGGTTCAGATATCAAGTCTGGCCAAGAATGGAAGAGGGAGCCCAACAGATCTATAAGGTTCAAAATATCACACTGTTTGACTAAGATGCAGTAATGTGATCATATGGCATTGTTCAAATGATGACTATTATTAATCTAAATTTACAGATCCCTCCTCCCAGCATAAACTTTACTTTACCCTCTCCCATCTTGGGTATGCCATCAGTACCAATGTTTGATCCACCCTGGGTTCCACAGAATAGTGGAAGCGTACAGGACCCAATTAGTGAGGACCAGTCTGTAAGTAACTGACATACACACAGTTATCTCCTATATGTAAGTCATGTGGTGGTGGTGGTGGTGGTGGTGAAATGATACAACAGAGGACTGTCTTTTGTATAGATAGTGCCTCATTCTCTTCCTTAGTGCTTAGTTTAATGATAATATTATAACTTTGTATAATGGAATGTGCTCTTACAATATTTTAACTCTAGAAATCATTCTCTGCTCGTGCTGTGTCCCGATCCCACCAGAGGGCTGAACATATTCTCAAGAACCTACAGCAGGAAGAAGAAAAGAAGAGGTTGGGGAGGGAGGCCAGTCTGATCACTGCAATACCGGTCACACAGGAGGCTTGCTATGAACCAACCTGTTCTCCTAGCGCAGAACAGGAGGAGGAAGGTGTGCTTGGTGCATATACACACTGTAAAATTTGTAAAAACAAACATATACCATTACTACCCCATAAAGTCTTATCTTTGTCAACTAGTCAAAAAGCTTTATATGATACTAAGAAGAGAGTTCAAAGAACTGCACGTATAAATTATCTATAAAAAAATGAAATTATGATGTGCTTTATATCTTTTAACTAAATGCAGTACATGTGAGGGTTCCAAATTATCATATTCATGTAAAAGGAAGAATGAAGTTGGAATTTGTAAGGATACATGCATCTCAAATTCTCAGAGTTTAAAGTCCAACGTCAGCCAAATAGTTTTTACTAGATTTGGATAGAGTCAAGTAGGGTTAGAACCTAATTAAAATTTTTATTTGTGTCCCCTACTGGGGTAATATAGCCTCATTATTTGTGCCAGCGACCACAGTCAATGGAAGACATTTTGATGTGGAATCCAAAATGCTATGGTTGTCACTAGAACAGGAGTAGAGGGGATATCTTCAAACAATATCTTCAATCATGTTCTGATGACAACTGTTGTCCTGTTGTGTTGCTAGAGTTAGGAAGTGTATGAAAATCTCACAAATGGGGAGAGTTGTTCCCATCTATCCAAAATGAAAAAAAGTTTTGGCTGGATTTACACTTTATTTTGCACTAGCATGCTTTTATATGTTTAGGTTAAGTTTACATATTAGTAATGAATGTTGATTCATAGCTATCACATTGAAAGACTAGCTGTTGACAGAGGTCATTATTGTGCACTATTCAAAATTCACTGGTCAGATAGGGCAGGTTTCACCTCTTCAATTTTGATTGCCAGTAGAAGAAACCGCCAACCTGAATTCCCGTCGCCTATCAGTGAGTCCATCCTGCACCTCAAGCACGTCTCACCGTAACTACTCTTTTCGCCGTGGCTCTGTGTGGTCAATACGCTCTGCAGTCAGTGCTGAAGGTCAGTCTCAGCTTTTATTAGTACCACATTCATACATTTCCAGTGGTATAATGAGAACAAATTGCAGAAACATTTTCTCTTTGTTAACCAGATGAAGAACATGCTACAGAGCATACTGCAAATCATCATGTGTCCCAGCCACCACAGCCTGTGTTCCCAGCATGCATCTGTGCTGCTGTCCTGCCGATTGTTCACCTCATGGAGGATGGAGATGTTCGTGAAGATGGTGTGGCAGGTAAAAGTTCTATTTGGTGTATTTTTTTATCCCTCTAACATATTTAAAAAGTAACTCAAAATCACACTTTTTTTGTCCATTCAGAGCATTAAGGCACACCATAAATTCTCTTAAACATTCACACTTAATAATTATTATTGGGTCCCTTTGGATTCTCCAGCAGGGATGAACGTATCACGGCTGATAAACTGTTGTAAAAAAAGAGCATGGGAAGATGGTCACTGCAATGGGGGACATTTAAGAATACAAACAAATTTAATCTATCATATAGTGGGGAGAGGGTCATGTTATTGTGACTTTGAGGTTGACAAGAGTAAAACGTCAATCCTTAAAATTACATGCTTGGGCTTTTAAGCTGCATTTGGTGTTGTGTAAAAGTACAAACTTCATACTACACTCTCTTGGCCTCAGAGACTCCGCTCTCTCCTGGCTCTCTTCCTATCTATCACAGCGCTCCTTCAGTGTTATTTATAACGCTGCCACCTCCCCCTCACTCCCTCTCTCTGTTGGGGTCCCTCAAGGTTCTGTCCTCGGGCCCCTTCTCTTCTCCATCTACACCTCCTCCCTTGGCCAACTGATACACTCTCATGGCTTCAACTACCATCTCTATGCCGACGACACGCAAATCTATCTCTCTACCCCTCGCCTCACCCCTTCAGTCTCTGCCCGAATCACTAGTCTACTGAACAACATATCGGATTGGCTGTCACTCCACTTCCTCAAATTATACCTTTCCAAAACCGAGCTCCTAGTTTCCCTCCCAGATTGAGAGTTGCTTTTTCTGGACAACTCAACTGCATTGCCTTTGTGAATTGTACATTCCCTGACCCCCCCCCATCCTTGTATGACTATTTATTCACAAAACATTCAAAATGTAGACTTTTACGTGTTTTGTAGAAAGTCGTTAGCTTCAGGACAGTATGCAAGCAAATAGAAGGAGATGATTCTGGTTTTATCTTGCAAAAAAAAATAGTGTATTAAACACAGATATGGTCAACATTGACCACATGCTCCATTAATATCCTCTCTCTGGAATCAGCCCTCAAAACGATGACAAGATGGTATCTTGTCCCTTCCCGTTTAGCTTGTCTCCATCCGTCTACCCCTAATACTTGTTTCCGAGGCTGTAATGCATCGGGTGATGTTCTCCACATATGGTGGATATGCCCCATGCTCTCTAGATTTTAGACTAAGGTTCTTAAATTACTCCAATCACTACTCACCTGCCACTATCCGAGAGACCCCTGATATACTCTTTTCCATATAAAATCCCCAGGAAGATCTAAACTCCAATTTAAATTGGCCACCCATATACTACTGGTGGCCAAACAAACCATAGCGAAAGCCTGGAAACAGCAGTTCGTGCCCTTTACGGAAGTCCATCCGTCAGCTAGTTTTTTTTCTTACTAAATGAGAAACTGTCCACTGTCCTCTTAGACACCCACGAGAGATTCCTCAAAATCTGGACTCCCTAGATCCAGCATGCCCATCCTAAGATTTCAACGAATAGCTTTACCTCCCTTTAATTTGTTCAACCCATTCGAGAGAATTCAGATGTTCTAGATGTCCATTCCCTTTAATTTTCCTTTATTTTTTCTTTCCTCTCTCTTTCTCTCTCTTTCCTCTCTTGATTCCAGTTTCTTGGCTCTCCCATGGGGTTGCCCTGCAACCTGCGAGACGTCCTGTATTCCTTAGTTCGGAAGATATTAGTATTTCTTAAACGCTATGCTCTTTGACTTGTGTCGGTGGTTGTGTTACTGCCAGACTTTTTCTGTGTACTGGCCAACCATCCAGCACAACAAAGCACGCTTTATTTTTACTTTCTGATAAGTTGATTTGAACATTATCTACTCTAACTATGTGCCGTTTGCACATGATAGCTATTGGCTGTTGCTTGTAGTTATGATCCTGTTTATGCATTTTTATGCGGTTAAAACCATATTTTGTACTTAAAAATACCAAAAAGCAAATAAAAATACTGAAAGGAAAATAGTGTATAAATGCATTATCTGAGAGACAGCGGCCACAAATATTGTACAGTGGCTGGGCAGTATGTAAGTATCTTGGGTAGGTCAAACTATAAGAGGGAGAGATTAGGCAGATTTTATCTTGAAATAAACATTAGAGTACCCTACCTCAAAGACAATAGCCATAAATATTTTTGAGTGCCAGAGCACTGAAACAGGTCACAAATGTCAATACACAGTGCAAGATTTTCTCCTCAGTAAACAACAGAAATTTGCTGCTAATGTCCAAACATTTGTTGGCACCTTTACAGTGCCTGGTCACTAAAATAGGCTGCAAACTGTGACATGCAATGCAGGATTTACCCTGCAGCATATATTCAAAATTTAGAAGTTTTGGTCTGCAGAAACATTTTGTGGCACCTTTACAGTGTTTGAGCACCCAAATGGACCATGTGGGGTGGCAGGAGCTGGACTTGGTGGTAGGGATTTTTTGGGGGGGCCAGATGCCACTTAAAAGTTTAGTCTGTAGCATAAGCAGACTGGTTCATTTTAAGGAAAGTGAGCTGGTCCACATTGTCAGGGTACAGGCAGATTCCCCTCTTAGTAACTAAACCTCCTGCTACACTGAAGACCTTCTCAAACATCACACTGGCTGCAGAGCAAGCCTGAAGCTACAGTGCATATTTTTAAGCTCCAGACAGTGGTCCAGCCTGGACACTCAACAGTCCATGGGGTCCATATGTGGACCTGGTTTAAACAATTCTTAAAAAGGGTGCTGCCACTGGTGCTCCTCCTTTCAGGGATCAGATGAGCATGTTGATCATCAGTGGGGATACTTCCACCATTAGAAAATGCAGCAGAGAGCTTCCTATGCAGAACATCCTCAATCTGTGGTATTTTCAGCTTCCTCTGTGGTAGTGGCAGTATATTATTTTACTATTGTATGAGTGATCCAATAGTGTGGTAATCCTATAGTTGTCCTTCTCTTTTATGCCCCAAATCTTGGAGTCTTTGCGCAGCATTTTAATATTAAAGACCATGCTCACCACAGATTTTCTGTAGCAGAGGAGCTTGAATCATTGGCATTTCTGAGGACAACACTTTCCTCAGCAATCTCACCCCACCCACATACAAATCCTGAAGTTTGAAAGGGTTGAGATAATCCCCTTGAAGCCTGCCTAATTTCCTACTTTTGCTCTTCACTTCCATTACCCTTACTTTCCTCCTCCTTGTATTCCTCTTACTCCTGCTGCCTCTGCCTCACAGGAATGAAGACATTAGTAAAAGGATCCTGCTGGCCCTTAGACAGGAGGAAGTCCTTCTCTTTTTTCCTGCTGCTATGTCTCCAGCGCTTGATCTAGAAGAAACATGTTTGAGAGGTCTTGGGATTCCTATGGTTATTCAAATGATGTAATGTAATAAGTCTTCACTTAAGTTCAATGACTCGACAAGGCACCTCCCAAACACAGGCCTCCCTCAAAAGGGTACAAGACTTAGATTTAGGACACTGTTCTTGTATAGGTGCACGTGTGGTGTGCATATATACATTCCAAAAAGGACACATGACCTACATGCTGTACATACATTATTTTGTATATGTTTAAAAAATTCTACAAATCACATTTGACTACAAAACCCAGTGCTTCTTTGGATAGTGATGTAAATGGTGGCACCTTAACACTTAGTGGTCTATTTATAAAAAAAAATTGATGTGCGAGTACCTTAAAGGATAAGTTCATATTTTTAGTAAAAATAATAAATGCACAGGTTTTTGCAGGTAAAAAAAATGTGCATTTATTATTTTTGTCTGCAGGAACCTGTAAAGCATGGGTATTGAAGTAAATTCAAAGAGGTCTGCTCACTAAAATCTTCTGGCTGAGGTCCGAAAATAAATGTCCCCATTAGTGTTCCCTCTTACATCAGGTTCCCCCTCCAGAGTATTTTATTACATTGGGTGCCACCATCAGACTTCCCCCTAAATCGGTTGCCACAGTCAGAGTACCCACCTATATCAGGTGTTCTCATCAGAGCTCCCCCTTAAGTCATGTGTTTCCATCAGAGTGACCCATACATCAGGCATTTCTGTTAGAGTGCCCCCCTTACATCAGGCACTTCCGTCAGAGTGCCCCCTTACATCAGTCATTTCCATCAGAGTGCCCCCTTACATCAGGCATTCCCATCAGAGTGCTCCCTTACATCAGGTTTCTGCATCAGAAAGCCCCCTTACATCAGTTGTTCCCATTAGAGTGCCCCATTATATAAGGTCCCCCATCACGGTAACACCTTACATAGGGTGTGCCCGTCAGCTTGCCCCTTTACATTAGGTGTCACCATCAGAGTGAAACTTTACATCATGTATCCCCATCACATCAGGTGTGCCCATCAGAGTGCTCCTTTACATCAGGTATCCCCATCTCAGTACCACCTTACATCAGGTATTGCTGTCAGAGTGCCCCCTTACACTCAAATTACCTCTTTCCATCATATTTCCCCATCAGAGTGCCCCCTTCCATCACATGTGCCCATTAGAGTGCCCCTTTCTACAGTATGTGCCCATATGTGCCCCCTTAACATAACATGTGCCCTTCAAAGTGCCCTTTAACATAAAATAAGCAGCATGCTGATGGGCACATTTTATGTTAAGGGGCACTCTGGTGGGAACATTTATATTATGGGGCATTCTGATGTGCACATTTTATTTTAAGGGGCACTCTGATGGGCACATTTATATTAAGGGGCACTCTGATGTGCACATTTTATGTTAAGGGGCACTCTGATGAGCACATTTTATGCTAAGGAGCACTCTGATGGGCACATTCTATGTTGTGCCCATCAGAGTGGCCCTTAACATTAAATGTGCCCATCAGCATTACTCTTTAACATTAAATGTGCCCATCATAGTGCCCCTAATATAAAAATTCCCATCAAGGTCCCCCAGAAAGAACACCCCCTACCTTGAAGGCAGACAGGAGCAAGAGGCAGGAGCTTGCCAAGATCCTTTCTGAAGGGGGCAGGGTGCGTGCTTTTGGACAGGCAGGGAGTGGAAGCCTGGAGAGACAGCAAGCTACAAGGGGCAGGGCGTCTGCGTGATGTCATCAGTTGCATGGACGACCGTGCTGCAAAGCGGCGCATTCTACTCTGGTGGGCTGGCGCTCCGGGCGGGAACGCTACTCGGGCCATTCTCGGACCGCGATCTGCCATTTAGTGACCGCTGCTGTAAAGCAATACCATGCAGGTCACCTGCTGATCTGTTAGTATATCTGTTTGCCCATACGGGATGTACGAGCAAGCGGATATACTGACAGGAAGAATGAATGAGGACTACGAGCCGAAAGACGTTAAAGCTGTTAGCTGGTAAAGCGGGGGAGCAAGGGGAGAGGAGGCCGGTTTGATCATAACATATTACTTGTACACCCTGAGTATGGGTGTAACATGTAGTTTGTCACGAAAGGTCAACTTATCCTTTAAGTCTTCTCTAAGCAGTCACAAATAATCACTGCATTGTGTATAATATGATACTGCACTATGGGCTGTAGATGGAGTTGATGATCAGAAAAAATAAATATATTATACACAATACTGTGATTATTCATGATGGATGTGCCAATGCTTAAAGTAGAAGTAAAGGTTAATATAATTCAAGTTTAAAACTTTGCCTCCCCCTGCTCATACACAAGCTGCACACTGTTTGCAAAATATCTCATTGTAAATTCCTTTTTTAAATCTGCTACAGTGCAGTTATGTGATCGCTAAGCTCCGGTAACTTTATGTCAATGAGTGGCTCAACAACAGGGCTGAATTTACAGACCTGTGACATCACCTGCCAGCTTCTGTTGCTCCACCATTGTTGGTGCTTCCTGCCATCAGCCACACACTAATATATTTTTCTAAATAGACCACAAACACAAAGGAGATTCTCTGGTGGAGAATCAATCACTATCATTATAACACACGTACTTGGAAGATTCTCCTGCAGAGAACTTTTGCTTAATGTGAGATTCACTGGTTTAAAACTATGCCCCTACTATATATATATTGAAAACATACCCCACAGGACTTTTAGAGGTCTGGTTTGTTAGAGCTTGCTCCATAAGTAATTTTTATGTATTTCTAGCACTGGACTAGTGTCCCTTCCTTCATGTTCATTGTTTTCTTTTTTTTCCTGCAGTGAGTGCAGTAGCCCAACAAGTGCTCTGGAACTGTTTGATTGAGGACCCATCCACTGTCCTAAGACATTTCCTAGAGAAACTCACCATCAGCAACCGACAGGTAACATTCACTTACATTACAAAACAGGTTCTACTGTCAGTCAGCAAGAAAACACAACATTGTAGACCTTCTTCATCTGAATTAATAAGGGGAGTACCTGTAGGGTTAAGATGTTGTCAGAACAAATGACAAATGGATACATAATGGACAGGCGGAACGTTTATCTGGGGCAGAAGCAGACGTACCATAGGCCTGCCTTTTTCATGAGTATATGAGAAACCGAACATTTGTTTTTCCTCGTGTTTGCCACTGTGCTATGTTTCCTGTTCATTGTTTTTTTTTTCTGATAAAATGGCCACAGTTGTCTTTCTAGGACATACTGCCATCTCACATGTGATATTCTTATCTACTTGCTTACAGTATTTCAATTAGCTGATTTTATGTAGGGTTGCTAGCTGTTCAATGTTTTCTATTTTTTTCTCGCTCCCTCATCACTAGAGTTGATTGACAGGAGCAGGAGCCAATGGCTCCCGCTGCTGTCGATCTGCCCAGTGAGGAGGGACAAAGCCAGGAGAGCCGCAGCTCTCATGCACAGTGCTGGATCGCAATGGGGCTCAAGTAAGTATAAGGGGGGGCAGGGGGGCATTCTGTTACACCAAAGGTTTTTTTATCTTAATACATAGAATGCATTAAGGTAAAAAACCTAGAGGCTTTAGAACCACTTTAACCCGTTCCTTCATGCACGCATACAGAGATATTAGTTAAATAAATGTAACAGAATACAGCATGTAGAATTAGCTGCAATGAAATGCATTTTTCAGTATGAACTAACTGAACCATATTAGTTTGGGGAAAAATCAGTAGAAAGGCAAAGTTTTGTAGAAGTTTAGCTCAATTCAACAAAAATTAATTTGCTCCATAATAGGGTCAGACTATAGCTGCAGCACAATCAGGTTTTTGTTGCCGTAAACCTGATTTGTAGCATATACTTTCTGTTTGTGTTTGCTGATAAATGTGGTTGGATGGTTGGAATGTATGAACTAGGTTATATTTTGATTTTTTTTTCAGGATGAGCTCATCTACATGTTGAGGAAGTTGCTTCTGAACATTGGAGACTTTCCTGCACAAACATCACACATATTGTTCAACTACTTGGTGAGCTGAAGATGTGTATTTGACTTTGAATTTTTAATCACAATACTGATATATGTATCTTCGCTCTATGAAAAATGTTTAAAGAAATATATAAAGAATTTACTTTAAAGTGGACACCAAAAAAAGCTAATCTCAGTTGAACCCTAGATGTCATGGTATTACTGGAGATAGGAATGATGGTTACTAATAATGACTTAGTAGAAGATCACCACTATTTCATGTCATCCAAATTTAAAAAGAAAGTTACACCTTAGTTCATGTTACATTTCTTATATTCATTTTTTTTTCTTAGGTGGGCCTTATTATGTACTTTGTTCGCACACCATGTGAGTGGGGAATGGATGCCATTTCAGCAACCCTTACCTTCTTGTGGGAAGTGGTAGGATATGTGGAAGGTCTTTTCTTTAAGGACTTGAAGCAAACGATGAAGAAAGAGCAATGTGAGGTGAAGTTGCTAGTAACAGCCTCCATGCCAGGTAAGGAAATGCCTTGACCAGTGTCATCTACTCCTGCTTAACTATTCGGTGAGTAACTTGTTTTTTTTTTATTTTCGGCTTGCAGGAACAAAGACACTAGTGGTTCATGGCCAGAATGAGTGTGATATCCCAACCCAGCTGCCAGTTCATGAGGATACACAGTTTGAAGCTCTGTTAAAGGTACAGCAAATACAGCCAACAACAGACAAGAAAAAATAGACAGAGAAGGTCATATATGAGCCATTTGTGCTTGTAGGCAGGTGCAGTCCACTGTCTCCATTGCAGGTGGTGCTTGACCCAAGTGGTACCACATCCAGGAGAAGAAGTCAGGAGAAACCTTCTTTCTCTATGGTTTCCTGGTCCCTGAAGGTAGCGCTGCATCCAGGTGATCCTTGGTGTGTCACGTACCTGATGTGAGACTGAATTGACGAGGTCGGCCTCACTTGTGTCACTAGCCCTGACCCCGCTGAGGTTGGAACAGAGGGAGTCTAGGGACCAGGGGGACAAGAGCGCCAGTGGTTGTTGTTTGCAGCTCTTGCAGATAAAGAACTTGGAAGGCAGGTGATCCTCTGATTTAGGCACCATAATAACAGACAGAGCAGGTTCTGTGGATTGCCAAACGTGCAGCAGAGCAAGGTAGGTAGCAAGGACAAGAGACTGGAGCAGGGTCATAGAATAGCCAGGGTCATCAACAGTCGGGCAGCGCGGTACAGAATCAGAAGGAAAAGCCAAAGTCAGGAGCAGAGCCGAAGACAGGAACTGGTAGCAGGAGAGTAATCGAAGTTGGGTTAGGAACAAGCCGGGTTGGTAACGGAGGAATTGTACAGGAACAAGCAGGACACGGGGGGGAGCTGAAGACCAATCGGCACTGAACCTGAGCAGAGGCACTCCTTAAATGGGCCGCCTGGCACCAATCTTCGCCGTGCGTGTGCGCGATCGCACGTTCCTGCGCGCATGCGCACAACCGGCAATTCTGCGGGAATTCCTATGCGCATGCACGTTCCCGATCGCGATTCTTCTTGCCGGAAATCCCTTACATGGTGGCTATCTTATATATTTATATGTCCCTGTCCCCAGGTTTTGGCCTGCATTTGCGAGTGGGTATTGTAGGGCTTAGGTCTGTTAGGGACAGAACCAGCGGAAGAGAAAAATTTCCGGACAAGGAGGGAAAATGTAGGGCTTGCAACTTTTCTGAACATCTCCTTGCTTGGGTACATGACGGCCAGGCCACACTCTGCTCCTCCTCACAGGCGCTGTAGGTTTGACTGAAACTTGCTCTTTACTCACTGTTGGGTTCCGTGAGTGTTCCTGGTTAGGCTGTCTTCCCACTGGATTGTTGTGACTGTTTGCATTGCTCCATTTCAAGTTCTTATATCGCACTTGGACTGCGTGTGTTATTGGCAACGCACCACACTGCACCGCACCTACATGCTATTACAATTTTCTGAATATATTTTTCGGCTATATGTATGAGTTTGCCTTTGATTTTGTAGAAGGATAAGTTCAGCTTTGGGAACATGTTACATATGCCACCCATTTTAGGGTGGAACATGTAACATGTTCTCGATCTTGCAGCCATCACCTGCTGCCCCCCCCCTGTGACAGAAATACAGGAAGAAATTCCCCATACTAGCTGTCAGTTTTCGCATCATTCGTTCACAGTGTTCTGTGAAAGAATGGACTACAAGTCCCAACAGCCTTAGCAGCTGTCGGCTTGTAGCCCTCAATGAACTACCACAGCACTGTGAGAGATGTGGTAGTTCATTGAGTCTTCCTGTTAGCAAGTATCGGCTTGCCTGTACGGGATGTATGAGCAAGCAGATACACTGACAATCTCCAGAGAGACCTGCTTGGCACCAGCGATCTGCAGATCGCCAGTTGCAATGCCTTACAGGCTCCTAACACAAAAGTGAATAAACTCACATTTTTTTGTGCATTTATTATTTTTTGTGGAAAGGTGAACTTATCTTTTAAGCAGTATGATCAGTATATTCTGTAAAATGCTCTGTGTCGTATCCTGATATAATTGATTTAATTATTGTAGAAGGCATAGTATCAACATAAAAAGCAATATTACCTTACTACTATGAACTGTAAATCCTGATCACAATGACACAAGCATTAACACTTATCTGGGATCTTCATGACTTTGTAATGAGAACCAAAATACTAATGCCAGCCTGGTAGTGTATTATATATTTAATTTCCACATTAAAGACCCTTTCACATTCCTGCTGCTGCTATGCATTTCTTTTACTATGATTAGGCTGGCAATGTCTATGTGACATAAATGGTTTTGAGAAAAATATTTAGTATGCAAGATTGTCTGTATACTTTGGTTCTTGCTTTGAAGAGTTTGCTGCAGAATTGCTTCTTCTGTAATGTTACTTTACTGATTGTCGGTGAAAAAAAGAAGTTATGCTTCTCAGCAGTGTGATGACCTTGTACAGTTTTCTTTGAGGATAAACAGGAGTTTAGCAATGACTGCAATTTGCACACTTGTTTTTAAAACTTGTAGGCTGCATTTGCTGAGATTCTCATGCCATTAGCCTGATTGTCGTGCAATCATTTTACTTTCTAATTCACTGACCCAGAACAGGTTTATAGATGAGGAATTTGGACTTAACTTGCTGCACACTTCTTCTGGGTATCGAAAAGTCTCACTCAGAGATGGACAAAATTAGCGCTCATAAGGGGATCAATCACATTTTTCTTTTTGGTTATTTTCAATTGAAACAATTGAATATTTCATATTTCCCTCTATTTTTCTTGTCAGGAATGTCTAGAGTTTTTCAACATAGCAGATTCACAGGCTGCAAATTACTTTCTCATGGATAAACGATGGAACCTGACTCATTATAATAAGGTAAGTTGAAGGTCTGATCAGCTGGGCTAACTCTGAACTGAGCTGCATTAGATGTATGTACAGTATATTCAGCTGTAGGTATCAGCTGGCTGCTACTTTCAATATTATAAGCAGGAAAGACTTTGAAGAGGGGCACTTGTAAAGTAAATGTGATCCCTTTCAGAAAAACAGCAACAAAAATTAATTTTGAAAATAGAAATGAAAGGCAAAACATTTGTGTATATACAGTATACTATATATATATATATATATCCACTTGCTGACCACATAACCAAGTTATACAGTGGCAGCTTGGCACTCCTGCACCAGAACATGTACCTAGTATGTGATCCAGCACTTCTGGGTAGGGGGCATGCACACGCGCCACTGCCGACCCGGTTGTGCTGTGATTAGGCACACCACAAGTAAATCAGCAGGTGCCGCCAAATGGATGGCCGTCGATAATCACCCACTGATCGGCGAGGAGGAAGACAGAACAGCTCTGATCTGTCAGCAGGAACGTGCTGGAGTTTGTTTCCCTGCAAAGTAGGGAATAAAATACAGCACATTCCTTAGTGAAAGCACCTGAAAGTAAACACAAAAGCACAGGTTAGACATACATTTAACCCTTTGATTGCCCTAGATATTTAACCCCTTCCCAGCCAGCATCATTAGTACAGTGTCAGTGCATATTTTTAGCACTGATCACTGTATTAGTGTTAATAGTTCCCACAAAGTGTCAGTTAGAGTCAATATTTGTCAGATTGTCCACCGTGATATTGCAGTCCTGCTATAAGTCGCTGATCGCCCCCATTACTAGTATAATCTCAGTATATATACCATAGATTGTAGACGCTACAACATTAAGGTAAAGCAATCAATAAACGCTTATTGGGATTTTTTATTGATCTAAATTTATAAAGAAATTTTATTTTTTTTTATTGGATATGTTTTATAGCAGAAAGTAAAAAATATTGTTTTTCAAACTTTTTGGACTTTTTTTCATTTATAGCACAAAAAAATAAAAAACCCAATGGTGATTAAATACCACAAAAAGAAAGTTCAATTTGTGGGAAAAAAATTATATAAATTTCATTTGTGTACAGCATTGCAGGACCTCAGAGTTGTCAGTTAAAGTAATGCAGTTGCAAAAAGCAAAAAATGGCCAGGTCATGAAGGAGGTCAAGTGGATATAAATACCTTTTTTTTCTTTTTTTTTAGAAGTGGTCACATAATATCTGTCCTCAGCTGCATAGGTCTAAAGAGCTAGGGGTGGAGAAACAGCAGTACACTGATATTCCCAGTGAATGGCTGTACGGGGGAATGGGCGTGTCAGCACAAGTCTGATCATTGGAGGTCAGGCAGGCTGTTATTCCAGCCATAAAACTGACCACCCTGAGATGGATGTGTTCTCAAGCCATGGATGTGGTCATGTTTGAAATAGAATAGCAGGGGGACTGGCAGGATCCCCAGGAATTTCACACCAAGGAAACAATACACAGAGAACAGGATACTTTTTAACACAAGTACACAGTACAATGGGCAGCACAGTGGCTAAATGGTTAGCACTTCCACCTGGCAGTACTAGGGTCCCTGGTTCGAATCCCAACCACAGCACCACCTACCTGGAGCTTGCATGTTCTCCCTGTGACTGCGTGGGTTTCCTCCGGGTACTCCGGTTTCCTCCTACACTCCAAAGACATGCTGGTAGGTTAATTGGCTCCTGTCTAAATTGGCCCTAGTATATGGATGTGAGTTAGGGACATTAGATTGCACACCCCTTGAGGGTTAGGGACTGATGTGAATGTACAATATATATGTAAAGCCCTGCGAAAACTGATGGCGCTATAGAAGTACCTGAAATAAATAATAATAAATAAACAACAGATACATATCTGGAATCTGAAATGTTGGGTTAACATTTTTTTAAAGCAGTTCTAAAGCCTAAACATTTTTTACTTTAATGCATTCCTTGCATTAGGGTAAAAAATGCTTAGGCATCAGTATCAGCCCCTCACACCCCCCCCCCTTTTATACTTACCAGAGTTCTAAGTCAATCGAGTGCCACATCTGCAGCACTTCTCTCCCCTCACTTCCAGGTCTCACAGGCTTTTCTGAGGCAGTGGGAGCAATTGGCTGTTACTGCTTTCAATCAAAGCCAATGAAGCGGAGGGAGTCCCGCTGTATGTGTCAATGGACGCACCAGAGGGGCTCAGGAGCCAGCCCGCACAAGTGCCCCTATGGGAAGTGGCACTTGGTGCAGGGGAGGAGCTGGGAGTTCCAGCAGGAGACCCGAGAAGAGGAGGTTTGGGGTCACTCTGTGCACTTCTATTGCACAGAGCAGGTAAGTATAGACATGTTTGTTATTTTAACAAAAATCCTTTATAGCAACTTTAAGCCCTCGTTTACACTTACAGCTGAAGTGGGGGGGGGGGGTAGTAAAACGCAGCTCATCTGTACCTTTTTCCATCCACCCCACTTGCAAATGTAAAAATAATGAAAACACATTAAAAAATTACAAATTCATATATATACCTTAGCAGCACAACTTTAAAGTTTTAGATGTTCTGAATCAGTTTAATTCAGTTTGGGACTTAAAAAATGTTTTGTAAGTGCGCTCATAAGATACTTTCTTAGTGCCCATAGCAATCATGCAACTCCCAAGTGTATATCTGCAGTGCAGAGTTGAAAATAAATGAAATATCCTGATTGGTTGCTTAAGGCAATAAGAAATTGCTTGAACTTCCTATATTGATTTTTATTTTGTTGCATTGGCCCTACTAGTATCAGTGAGAATTTTGTTTCCATAGTAGTAGCTGGGAGGTGGGGGGGGGGGGGGGGATTTAACAGGGGAAATCAAGTGGTGTACCTTTGTAACAAGACTATATTGCATTTATATGTTTGAGTGCCCTTTGGAATCTCAGCCCAGTGTTCAGTTGTTTGTATTTGGGTAGAGTTGTTCATTATCTAAAATATGTAGATGAAACATGAAATAGTAATATCTCTTATTTGCGTTTTTATCGTTCAAATAATTTAGACATACGTACGTGACATTTATCCATTTCGGAGGTCAGTGTCTCCACAGCTGAACCTGGTACATATGCCCCCTGAGAAAGGACAAGAACTTATTCAGAAGCAGGTATGTTAGTGTCATGTTTCTAAGAATTCCTATGAAATGGTCTTTTGAACCAAATTTCTCAAATGCCCAAATGTCTCTGATTATGGTTTCCAAAAAGTAGTTGTAATCTGAGTTTACTTTTAAATGTTTAAAATATGCAATGCCTTAACATGCAGTAATGATATTAAAAACCTTAGAAATTGCAAGCTCTTGGCCTATGATGTGTAACCATAGGTATGTATGATTAATAGGATACATAAATACTGTATAATAATGAGTGTCTTTTTCAAGGATATGCATTCCTGACTCCTTTTGCTCTCTCCTACGCTTCTGCTCTTGATCACATTGAGCTCTGCTGTAAAAAATGATGAATGAGACTCTTATGGATTAGGCATCTTCATTTTGGCACCTTTGTGGGACAAGTTGACAAAAAAGGCATTGGCTCTTAGCGAAATAGAAAATATTGATCAATCCTACAAATTGATTGCTTCCACTGCTTGTAAGTGGTTGTGCATAGAATGACATTGGTTATACATACATAAACATTTTCTGAATAACTATAATAATGGTCCCATATTATAAAAGGAACTGTGCAGGTTGGAAAACATATCGGATAAATCAGAGATGAATAAAGATGAATAAAGATAACCTTGATGTGAATGTACAATGTACATTGTATATGTAAAGTGCTGCGTAAGTTGAAGGTGCTATATAAGTACTTGTAATAAATAAATAAATAAATACATAAATAACCTGATAATGGTAAAATTAATCAAAGGAACAAACAAAGGAAACCATTTGTATACTGTCTGGTCTCTAAATCATTGCAAAATGATATTTATCAAAGCTGGAAAACAGAGAGAATGCTGTTTTAATTGCTGCCTCTTCTTTTGTCAAGCCATAAGAGCTGCCCAGCATGTGGTAAATGTTGGATACACATGCTGTGTAAAGAACTGATTGTATGGGGTAGGGATGGGCTTTATGTTCGAGTCGAGCATAAGTTCGACACGAACATTGGGTGTTCATGTGTTTCGGCGAACACACAAAGATCATGGGCATTCGGTGGGCTATTCTCCCGCCATGTCCCACAATGCACAGCTGAATTCACTGTGAGAGCCATGATTGGCCATAGCAGCCTTGTGTAGTGTGTTGGTGGAGTTAGATAAGTGAGGATAGTTAGTGGTGTGTTAGGAGACAGTGTAGTCAGTGTAGTGCGGTGTTGTGGAGCAGTGTAGTGATGTCAGTGTTGTTTTTACAGCACTTCTGTATCACTGCTGTTTCCTTTTTTTTTAATTTGTTCATTTTTTTTTTTTGGCAGCATCAGGTTCTGTTACCGCTTTTTTAGTTTCCCCCCTTGTGTCACAGGTGTTCCTCCTTCGTCAGCAGTGGTTTCCTTTTTTTTAATTTAAATTTTTTAATGTAAGTTAATTTTTTTTTTGGCTGCAGCAGTACTAAAAATAATTACAGCATCTTTGCTGTTCCTCCTTCTGCGTTGCAGGTGTTCCTCCTTCTGCATCAGCAGTGGTTCCCTTTTTTTTTTTTCTTCTTTTGGATTTCTCAATTTTTTATTTGTTGCTGCAGCACCAAAAATATTGAGGGGATAATTGCTGTTCCTCTGTCTGAATCACAGATGTTCTTCCTTCTGCGTCACCTTTTTTTTGGCTTTCTTCTTTTTTTTACATTTATTTTATTTTTTTTTACTGCTGTGGCAAAAATAATTAAAGTATCCATATTTGCTGTATAAAAAAAATCATAATAAAACAGTTTATAGTGCACCAAGCACAAAAGTATTGCACCCATGCACCAAAGTCTCATTCCACACTCAAAAATAAAACGTTATAAAAATCCTTTAAAATAATCCCCATCATGTCAGGCCAAAAAGGCATACACTCATAGTCAGCTAAGAGAGGGCAAGTAGTCTTTGTGTCCACAGTGAAAAGTGGTGGTCATGGACATGGTATATCCTCTGCAGGCAGGGCACGCTTGTCCTCTTTTTCTGGTCCTGGTCGAGTTGTTGAGCCACAACATGCAGAATAGGTGGTGGAGTGAATAATGAAGCCATCCTCCTCATCCTCCGTCACCCAGGATCTTACTAGTTTGCCTTCCACCACAGCTGCCAACGCTGCCTATTCCATAGGCTACTTGTCCACCACAGCTACTCCTTCCATAGCCCCACCATTATGCACGGAGGAGTCACCGGAATTATTTAGTCATAGTGTCAGTTACATGCTGCTGGAGGATGAGCAGCAATTTGAATGCTCCAATATTGATTCACAGATTGAGAAAGGGAGTGACGTGAACCTAGAGAGAGGGGATGCCAATGAGGGAAAAGAAATTGGCAGTCATGTTCCCTCAGCTGCAGCACACTGTCAAGTTGGCTCCAGTGGCGAGGATGAAGGGGGATGATGAGGTCACTGATTGTACTTGAGTGCCCGAGAGAACAGAGGAAGAAATTGAGGAGGCACAACTTCAACGAGGCAGGATATCCTCCAGGGGCAGGCGTAAGGGCAGCCACCCTATGGCATCACACAACAGAGCTCCACAGGTACAGGGTGCTGCTGACTCCTGGCTGACTTCCAAAAGTTCTATGGTGTGGGATTTTTTCAACACGTGCAGCAGACCGCAGCGTTGATGTTTGCAGTATCTGTCTGAAGCAGATCAAGAGTGGCCAAAACACCAGCCACTTGGGTACCACATGCTTGACAAAACATATAATGACTCATTGGCAACAGCACCTGAAAGACTCACATCCCAGACTTCTCCTTGCTCCTCATCTGGGATTACTACCCCTACTATAAAACCTCAAGTCTTCTCAACAGCCTCCACGGAGAGGAGTAATGCTATAGAAATGGGTTCCACAGGTCATTGCACCCAATCTGCTAGCAGTACACCACCTGTTGATTTCACCAGGCAAATTTCGCTACCCCAGTTGCTGAACCGTAAAAAAAAATACTGTCCCATCCATCTACATACTCAGTGTCTATATGCTAGCTTGGCCAAATTGCTAGCGTTACATTTGCTGCCTTTCCATCTGGTGGACTCTGCCCCTTCCATGAATTTGTGGAATGTGCTGTACCACAGTGGCAGGTTTCGAAAAGACATTTTTTTTTTCACATAAGGCATTCCAGCTCTGTACCATCATGTGGAAGTGTCAAGGTCCTACCTTTTCCCTGTGGTTATGTTACTTCATGTGCTGGTGTCCATCTTGGATTCTGCTGTGCATGATGGGAGCCCTTTTATGCCTTCAGGTTTCTGTGGTCCATCCTCCAGAGGGGTGTGGCTGATGACATATAAGCCTGTGGCCCGCACATGCTCTTTGCACTTGTGTCTTGTGTCTTTGTGTTGCTGTTACTCTGTTCTGACTCTCGTGACTCTCCTGGTATCTGATTCGGCTTGTCTTGACTATTCTTTGTATTCTCCTTTGATCTGACCCTCTGTTGCTGAACCCGGCTCGTGACCTGTGATTCTCGTCTGCTGTCCTGTACTGTCCTGTCCTGTTGTTGTTGACCCCGGCTTGTCTGACTACTCTTTTGTCTCTTCCACCAGCTACACGCCATTGGCGGCGGCCATTACCGCAGCTGAGGTGTCTCGGGGGCCGCGACCTGGTTCCTGGCTGCGTCAAGTCCATCCCCACCATCAGGGGCCCTGGTGAAAGGCAGCCTGGGACTTAGACTCCGCGCCCTGAGGGACTTCGGTCTGTGGGTGGTGGTTGTCGTCAAGCAGTGCGTTACATTGTTAGGCCTGCCTGTCCGTTCCTCAGCTCCTGCCCTGACAGGAAGGCAATGTTTTGACCTCGTTGGACAGGGCGGTCAGCAGCAAGGTCTACATTACTGCTGACATGTGATCCAGCAGGCATGATCAGGGACGTTATACATCCTTCACGGTACACTGGGTAACTCTGCTGGCAGCTGGGAAGGATGCAGGACAGGGTTCAGTGCTGGAGCTTGTTCCACCACCACGCCTACAAAATGCTGGTGGTGATTCTGCCACATGGTTCTGCTCCACAACCTCTTCTTCCTCTATGGCCTCTTCTACTGAATTGTTCTTTGAACCAGCAATGCTCCATAAGCATTCAAGGGGCTACGCAAGCAAACTCATTTGTGACATGCCCACCAGGTGGAACTCAACATTGCAGAGCTCATCCTGCCTTCACAAAGGAGCATCTTGAGGATGCTTTGAAGAAAAATGTGTGTAACACCTTTCCAGACACTGGGAGATTACCATTACCTGGACAACATGTTTTTGAGGCTTCATTCAGTCAAAGGAAGAGCGGTGGAGAAGGTGGCCAGCTGATCGATGCCTTTAAATAATTTTATAGTCCTTAGCACCCAGGGCTGTTAGGTTTAAGCATCCATCGGCAGCGTCTGCATCATATGGTGCAGGATTATCTAGGGGCAAGAGCAGACTTGGTGACCTTTACAACTAAGCATCCACTGGGTTACTGGGTCTTGAGGATCACTGGCCAGAAGTCGAGCTACTGGCCTGTCCTGCATCCAGCATGCTTTCCAAACAGATATTCAGTCCTACTGGAGGTTTTGTGATGGATAAAAGACTCCATTGAGTGGCTGACATTTATCAAAATGAATCAGTCCTGGATCAACAGCAGCTATCAAGCCCCTGATGCTTATGTAACTGATTAAATTTGTTAGGGCTCTTGGATCCCTTGAAGACTGCCTATGCTGCCTATCCTTTTCCTGGACCTTGATTCTGCTAGCTTCCAACAATGTATTTGGTTTAGGGCACCACCAACACCCAAGGCCCAATTTTTCTTTACTTGTTTGACAGGTGCATCTAATTAACATTTTTTAACATTTTTCTCTAATTGTTAACAATGGGTAACAGTAGGGCCCATTCCTGTGCCCAGCAAGAGTAACTGTGAGGGAGGTACAGTGTTAAGGCACCACCAACACCCAAGGCCCAATTTTTCTGTACCTGTTTGACAGGTACATGTTATTTAAAATTTGTACATTTTTCCTATAATTGTTAACAATTTTTAACTGCAGGGTTCATTCCTATGCCCAGCAAGAGTAACTGTGAGGGTTTACAGTGTCCAGGCACCACCAACACCCAATGCCCAATTTTTCTGCACCTGTTTGACATGTGCATGTAATTTCAAGTTTGTACAATTTTTCTCTAATTGTTAACCATTTTTAACTGCAGGGTCCATACCTGCACCCAGCAAGAGTATCTCTGAGGGGTTACAGTGTTCAGGCACCACCAACACCCAATGCCCAATTTGTCTGCACCTGTTTGACATGTGCATGTAATTTCAAGTTTGTACAATTTTTCTCTAATTGTTAACAATTTTTAACTGCAGGGTCCATACCTGCACCCAGCAAGAGTATCTCTGAGGGGTTACAGTATTCAGGTACCACCAACAGCCAAGGCCCAATTTTTCTGCACCTGTTTGACAGGTGCATCTAATTTAAATGTTTTAACTTTTAACAATTTTTAACTGCAGGGCCCATACCTGCACCCAGCAATATTAACTGTGAGGGGTTACAGTGTTCAGGCACCACCTACACCCAAGGCCCAATTTTTACGCACCTGTGTGACAGGTGCATATAATTATAATTTGTAGAGCAGCATCCAATCCTGCACTCGTAAAAAATAACTCTTGAAGAGTTACGGTGTGAAGTCACCACCAACTGTTCACCCTCCAAACACCCCACAATGCACTACACTCTCATAGAGTCCCCACCCCACACTATATAAGACAGAGGGGAGAATACTCTCCCTGAAAAAAAAATTATATGAATAATAATAAAAAAAAGTATATATATAGATTTTTTTTAAAATAACATAAAAAATACATTGAAAAGCAAAACAGCATAGGGTCCCTCTCTTCCTAATCCTTATAAGTTAAGGGAGACCCCACACTTCCCCTCCCCCCATTTTTTTGGGGTGGGGTTCCCCTTAAAAGTCATTCCTAGCTTTAAGAGTCTGGTATGACTTTTAGAGGGAACCCCACGCACATTTTAACCCAATTTTGGGAGGTGGGGTTCCCCTTAAAAGTCCTACCAGGCCTAAAGGGCCTGGTATGGCTTTTAGGGCGAACCCCAAGCACTTTAAAAAAAAAAAATTACTGTGGGGTCCCACCTAACCTTCCTACCAGACTTAAATGGTCTGGTATAGATTAGGGGGGACTGTTTTGTTTTTTTGTTTTTAAATGTCTTTTTTTTTTTTTGTGTCAGTCCTGCTGCAACAGGTTCTATACATTGTATAGATGTGAAACTTTGCAGGTAGTTTAACGGCCCCCCCCCCCAGCATGATATGTACCCCCCCCCCAGCATGATATGTAAAGGCATTTTCTTTTTTTTTAACTTTAAGCAGTGAAAAATGACTGCTCCTTTCAAAACAGTACTTTTTAAAAAAAAAATTCACTGATTCGTGTCCCTCAGGGCAGTACTCGAGTCCCCATACCCCCTATATGGTCAATAACTTGCATGTAAGCCTTTAAAATGCGCACTTTTGAATTTACAAGTTCGAGTCCCATAGACTTGCATTATGTTCGAGGTTCGTGGTCGAACTTTCATTAGGTTTGAATGTTTGACCGCGAACCGAACAGGGGGAGTGTTCAGACAATCACTAGTATGGGGGTATCATTATTGGTTACATACTTAGAAATATGATAAAGACCCTGGGTAGAGCATTTCCTCCCTTCCAATTTTGATGTCTCCCTTGTCAATCCGTAACCTATACCTCTTGCCTTATTGGTACCATTCCTTACCAATACTGCGATTTTCCCTCTTCTCCCCCTACCGTGGAACCATATGCCCCTTTCCACCCTCCCTCCCCCCTTCCCCCCCACCCCTTCTTGTTAGGCCTCATTTGCCATTTAATAGTCATCTATGTTAGCGATGCCTGACATTGTATTATTGGGTATCTTTACTGTGCAATTACTGTACACCTTCAATGACCCATACTCTTACTTATTATCTTGTTTTGTTTCATGTTAAAACAATAAAATATTTGAACAAGAAATATGATAAAGTCTAATTTTTGGTATTCAACTGCTTGATTTATGGACACAGGTGGAGACTTGACTCTTGTACACAGAAGTGAAAAAAACACCACTTTTTTACTGATTTGAAATAAGATGCAATATTGTCTGTGGAACAATGCACACAGCTGTGTGAAGATCAGTAATACAGCAATGAGTACAGAGTCGTAAAATGAAAATAGAAAATTTTTACATTTGAGTTCAGTAATTTACATGCATACACCAGTTTACGCATCTTTAAGCATGTTTATACGGGTATAAATGAGTATATTCCAACATTGTGGCAATGAATTTTACTCGTCTGTACGCTTATGCATTTTTACATGCCTATACTCAACATTACCCAGGTCTTTACACATGGTTTTGTTTACTCGGGGACTTTCTGTTAATAAGTTCCTGAGTAAACATCAGTAAATTCTGACGTCCGTGTGCAAGGGACCTCATGAGCCTATTGCAATGACCATCCTTTTTAAATTGGTGTTACTGCACTGAACTAGCAAAGACCAAAAAATTGGCAGCTTTGACTTTTTGTGCTTAGGGTATTTAAATACAATTTTAATATGAATATATAATCTGTAATACATTTATAATCCTCAGGTGTTTACTAGAAAACTGGAGGAAGTTGGAAGAGTTCTTTTCCTAATATCCCTAACCCAAAAGATCCCTCCTGCTCATAAGCAGTCTCATGTATCCATGCTTCAAGAAGATCTTTTACGTCTACCTTCATTTCCAAGAAGTGCCGTTGATGCAGAGTTCTCACTGTTTAGTGATCCACAAGGTAAACCATTACTTTACACAAAATGTGCTTGTGTATTGTGATGACATTTTTAGAATTGGATAGTATCAGATTCATTATTTTGCTTATTCCATTAGGTGGAAAAGAACTGTTTGGCTTGGATACATTACATAAAAGCCTGTGGATAAAGCTGCTGGAGGAGATGTTCTTGGGCATGCCCAGTGAATTTCCTTGGGGAGATGAGATAATGCTTTTCCTTAATGTCTTTAATGGTGCTTTGATTCTTCACCCAGAGGACAGTGCCCTTCTCAGGCAATATGCAGCTACGTGTATCAACACAGCTGTACATTTCAACCATCTCTTTTCATTGAGTGGGTACCAGTGGATTCTGCCCACTATGCTCCAGGCAAGTGAAAAATAGATGATTGTATTTAAACCTGACAGCAGAATCATGAATAATTTTTAGAAGGAATTTTAATCATTCAAACACTACTGCATAGATAGGGATACCAGACTCTCTAACATGATCAGCTCCATAAAATATACTTCAATATGATCAACAGTGCATATGAAGGTTGAGCATTATAATGGTAACTTTTGTACAACAGGGCTAAATATGACTCATCGAAATGCATGTCATTTATTATTATCCTGTCTAGTGTGAAATAACTGCTTTTGTTTATGTCATTAATATATAATACTACACACACACAAAATGAAACACCACTATTTTCTTTCATTCAGGTATATGCTGACTATGAAAGTAATCCTCAACTTCGCAAAGCTATTGAGTTTACCTGCAGACAGTTTTATGTACTGCATCGTAAGCCATTCGTGCTTCAGTTGTTTGCCAGCGTCGCTCCTCTTCTTGATCTTCCGGTAAGAGGCTCCCTGCCATGGCTTTATTTCATTTGTTTCATTGACTAAATGTCATTATTAAGTTCTTATCTATAATGATTGTCCTTGGACTATGCTAACATGTATGATAAAGATTTCTTATAGAGCAGAGCAACCAATTTTGTGTTTGTTGAATTCCATTCCTCTTTCTAGGACCTCTATTCATTTTTTCACTGTTCTGGGATCTTAAAAGATACTAGGCTCAAAACACAAAGTTTTAACATAAAATAAGGCTCTCAAACTTTTTTTTTTAAAATCTTTTTTTAAGGCTCTCAAATTTAGCTACATGAATTCAATTACAAATCTCAACTGAAAAAAAGTGTCTCTCTCTTTTTTTTTTTAATCCAAACAACTTTTATTGTCCAGACAATGAACAAAAATGGAGCAGAGTTTACAGAATCTTTAATAATATTACTGCTCCAGAAGAATTATACATAGATAGAACAAAATGGATCCTGTAACATACAGAATAACTGAAGCAGTGACCAATCATAGCAGGGAACACATGGATCCAAGGCTATCTTGACAATACATCTCTTTTTAAATAAATACTGTATATGTATTCTGTGTGAAATAAATTCTACTGTGAGAGTCATCATTTGAGGATGCCAACAGTCATGAGTGAATTTTACTCTCCTAATTTTATGTTTGCAAGTTTCAGGCTATTCTAAGTATGTTCTAATATTTTATCAGGTAGTCAGCTGAATGCTGACTCCTGTCAATCCTTTTTATAGTTTTGATAATGTGACTGTCCAGTGAGTGTTTTTTTTCTGGATATTGATAAAGATGCAGGTGGTCAGGACTTAAATCAAACGCAGGCTACCCTACAGTATATTTTTGGTCTTTGGGTTAAAGCAAGAACAACTGTAGGAAAGCCATGAAAATATGGAGAGAATATCTATACAAATATACTTATTTATTCATAACATATAAAGATCTAACACATTGCTTGGTATTTTAGTGTCAATTTGGAAATTTTATTTTTCATTATATTTGTACTGTTTTTATCTTCTGACCCAACACGTTAATCTACAGGATGGTGTAAGCAGTAGCTCTTCTAGCAAAGGTGTGTCTTCTCAGTGCTTATTTGACCTTCTTCAGTCTTTGGAGGGAGAAACACCTGATAATCTCGATATCCTGGAACTTGTGAAAGCAGAGCGTCCCCTTAAATCATTAGGTAAGTATACATACAACATATACAAAACATAGAAAAACTTTTTAAAGAATGGAATAAAAAAAAATGCAGTTTGTGCTTATGACTTTTCAAAGTAATTTATTTTAAAGACCTAAATGAGATGTTGTCGCCATGCCCATTCAGGTAAAGTGACACTATCTATGTAGCGGGGCCCCCAACATGCTCATAGCTATCTTGCTATTGCTGCCTATGTAACTTTTTCTGAATCCTCAGTTAGCAAAACTACATGGTGTGGGGAGCATGTGACCTCTGTTCAAGTGAAAACTCAGTTTTAGCTGGCCTATAGAGCCACTGAGAGTCAGATAAAACTGTACACATACATTCAAACATGATCAAACAGAATATAACAAATTTATAAAAACTGATTTACAGAAAATGCTTCAAAACATAAAAAAGTATTTGTACATTACTCATTATTATTTTCAGAAAAATCACTCTGTTTTTCTGACACTGTTATCACACTTTTTCTCAATTGCAATTTTCATTTACTGATGCTGACCTTGCATTTTTGTCATTAACAATACTTTTTCTTCTGCCTTTGACACCCCTAGAAAGACCAAACTGCTCCCTCCTTCCTTGCTTTCTTCCGGCCCACCAGGGTGTCTGGCTGCTCCTGTGAAGCCTCCAGTTCAGTATAAGTGACAGCAAGGACCAGGCTGAGTTTGTTGTGCCTGTTTGGTGCATCAGAACTCACTATTATCTCTGATACTGTGAAGGCACTCTCCCACACACAGGAGTAGATTTACTAAAGTTGGTGAACTCAGAAACTGGTGAAACTGTGCATGGTAGCCAATCACCTTCTAACCTCAGTCTATTCAATTAAGCTTTGGCAATAAAACCTGGAAGTTGATTGGTTACTATGCAGAAATGAGCCTGATTTTGCACTCTCCAGTTTTAGTAAATAAACCCAGCTTCAGATAATGGAAGGTTCATGTACATCAGCCACTCTGCCTTGGTGATGTCAGGACCAGTACAGATCCTACTACAGAAAGCCTCTGACACTAAAGGGTTACCTGATGACAAGTTCTATTTAAATAAACAATATTTCTTTGCCAACTGCAGTGGGAGAACCAACAGTTAACCAGCTTGTGCTTCAATTATATTTCCATCTAGATTTCTGTTATGGCAATGAAGACATGGCATTCTCCATCAGTGAATGCATAAAGCTGTGTGTAACAGTGGTAGCCTATGCTCCAGAGTCATTTCGCAGGTACCTAGCCTCTGCTGAATTAAATAGATTTTAAGTGAATGGATGGGACTGGGAAATTATGTAAAATTTTTACAAGAAAAAAAATGGTATCAGTTTTCAAAATGTTCACTTCTCAGCCTCCAGATGTTGATGGTGCTAGAAGCTCTGGTTCCCTGCTATTTGCAGAAGTTAAAACGGCAGACATCACAGTTGGAGACAGTGTCAGCGGCTCGTGAAGAAATTGCTGCCACTGCTGCCTTGGCCACATCACTTCAGGCTCTTCTTTATAGTGTAGAAGCTTTAACAAGGTAAATAATATATTATTTAAAAGAGGAATTTCTAGTTTCTGGCCCCACATGTTTTTTTTACAACTCCTTGCTCACTTTTGTGTTTTAGTGTTTCTCTTTCCCAAAGAAAAGGATGATTCTACCCTATACTTTTAAACTCATTATACATAAATAAAATGTAAAGTAGTTTGGGGTATATTTCTTCTTTATGTTTTTTTATGGCCAAAATTTAAAAAAATTTCAAATTTAAACATACCTCCCAACATCTTAAGCTGAAAAAGAGAGACAATGTGCAAATGGAAGATATGTGCCATACAGATTGCAATGCTCGGGAGTGTGTAATGACACCCCCCCCCCCCCTCCTAGTTCCTTCTCATCACAGACCCCAAGTACCTATCACCCCCTCAGTACAGATCCCCATCCCTGCCTACAACACAGTCCCCTTTCCCCTTAAATTCACCCTCCAGTTGGTGGAGATCTGACATCTGGCTGTGGCAGAGGGAAGTCTTCCCCTCAGTTGTGGATGTGAGGGAGCTGAGGAGGTGCCTCCCTCTGCTTTGCACATAAATGAGCCAGAGGGAAACCCTGTCATCAGATCATGTATACGCAAATTACACAACAACCAAATTAATACTCAAATAGTGCAGCAATTTGCATATGAAGAAACTTTGGCCACAGTGTACAGCTTTTGGGGGACTCAGCTGAAAAGGTCCAGGACTGTTGGGAGGTATTGATAAGTATATTTTGTTCTGTTTTTGTTAGGTAAATATATTTTATTGCAAATTAAATATTATGTAGTATTTCATCAAGCTAGCAGGTGAAGCTATCAGCTTCTTTTCAAATTCTTTTATCTGACTCAAGTTTTGTTGTAAAAAGCCTGTATTCTACATAGCTGTTTAAATTAAGCTGAAATTTACACAGAAATAAATGAGTCAGAGCACTGACTTGTTGGATAGATCATTCTGAGGTTTTAGTGAACTGAAACAAAAACCAAAAGATGGACCACATCTGCTGTACTGTCTTTTATGTTAATCCATGAGAATCCTTTCTGTGCATATATTCCCAACTTTACCATAATGAATATTCTTATGAAAAAAGTTAAAAAAATTTTAAAACTATAAGGGTGATTTACTAAACTTGACAGTGCAATATCTGGTGCAGCTGCATGGTAGCCAATCCGCTTATAACTGCGGCTTGTTCAACTAAGCTTTGAAAAAAAACCTTAAAGCTGAGTTGCACTAGATATTTCACTGTCCAGTTTTAGTAAATCAACCCCTATTTCTTCAATCCTGCACATACCAAAAAAAAAAAAAAAAAAAAAAAAAAAAAAAATATATATATATATAAATGGTAAACATTCTCTTGAAATGTAGATTTTAGATATTTTAACACAAAGTCAAAATATTAAATCAATAATATTTTTAGGCCCATGACAGCACCTCAGATGAGCCGAGGTGATCAAGGCCACAAGGGAGCCACAACAGCAAACCACACTATGTCAGCTGGGGTCAACCTGAGGTAACAATTAATTTCAACGTGTGATACCACTGAATATAAGTTACTTGTACAATATCAAATAAAAGGTTAAATCAATACCTTGTTTTCCAGAGATAATCTTCACCTGCTGGAAGAAGGTCAGGGACTACCCAGGGAAGAACTGGATGAGAGGATTGCTCGAGAAGAGTTTCGGAGGCCACGGGAGTCTCTGCTCAACGTCTGCACAGAGTTCTATAAACACTGTGGTCCTAGGCTGAAGATTCTGCAAAACCTGGCTGGAGAACCACGTGTGACTTCTCTGGAACTCCTGGATGTGAAGTCACATATGAGGTCTGGATCTTACTGAATTGCTGGCTGTTCCAATTCAGAGATGATGAATAATAGTGCATCACAAAATTGTCATAAAATTTAAGAGTCCATAACCAATTCACCATTTTTTTTGTCTCCAATTATAGGTTGGCAGAAATTGCCCATTCACTCCTGAAACTGGCACCTTATGACACCCAGACTATGGAGAGCAGGGGGCTCAAGCGTTACATCATGGAGATGTTGCCCATTACAGATTGGACAGCAGAAGCCGTGCGGCCAGCTCTTATCCTCATCTTAAAGAGACTGGATCGTATGTTCAATAAAATACACAAAATGCCAACTTTAAGGTGAGCAGATAGCACAGAAACATGCATTGAGTTTCTGATGTTGCAAACCTTGAAGTAAGGGCATAATGCTTGATTACTTTCCTCTACTGCTGTCCACAAACAAGATTATGGTGGTTTCTCTGGGCAACAGCAGAGGAAAGCAACGTATGAAAAAACAAAGGTAGGTAAATTCTAGCTATAGGCACAGTCTTACTATTTAGGCCACAATTCAAAACTAGTTACATGCTCTTAAAGTAATATAGGATAATTTTGATGGATGCTGTTTAATAAATTATAGCAATACAATAAAAACTTTTTCAGGGAGAATGTTAGCATGAGTACACTATGCATCCAATATCAAAAGACAGATAACTTAGCAGATCTTCTCTAGCAGTCAGAGTAAATATGTTGATTCAGTGTGATACTTCTCAGTAGTGTGAGAGCTTGCCTCTTCCTCCCTACACACTCTTGTTGGCCCATTTTCAATAATGAGGGGAGGGCAAAATCAATTGCCTCTAGGAATTTCCAGAGCTTAGCTTGTTCAGTCACCCAGCATTCAGTTATAGCAGAAAGGAATGATAGCTGCTGCAGGTATGTGCAGGTACCTGTGTGTGCCAGCATTTTATGCCTGCTTGCAGTTCTCTTTTTTTCAGTAACAGAGTCCCTATAAAGCAACCTTTAGTTACAGGAAAGTTTGTAAATTTCCAGGGGAAGCATGCAGCTTTAGTCTTTCTTTAGAATACTATGGGTGCTCCAAAACCTGGGGTACCTGGGATGAAAATCTCAGGTTTGACAAGGAAGGTCAGGAACATGTCCACCTTCCCCCAGAATTTGACACATTTGGTGCAATTTCTAAAGAAATCTAAGGCTTTATGAAAACACCGGTTCCTGCTGTACACCACCTATGTTAGTTTATCAGTTTTCATGTAAGTCCAGGCAAACTTTAATATCTGAAGTTTTCCTTGTCGGCTTATTGACCTTCTGACTCTTTTGCCATGTGCAGTGCAGTGTACTTTCAGCAGAATTTAATTTATTTCATGGAATTGCTCTAATAGCAGCTTTATAAGAACATCTTCATTTTCATTATCCAGATTAGGTTAACACTATAATTCTAAAATTAACAAGTCATCTATCCTTGCAGATTGTTATTATTTTTACAAATTCTAAAGCTGAGCTCAAGGAATTCAGCCACTTTCTAAAATCTGTCATGCCACCTCGTGCAATTATCTCTTATATTTACAACTGACAGTTTTACTGATAGCCGGGAGTACAGTGATACTGACAGGAGTGATGCTGACAGGAGTGATGCTTCTCACACAGCAGCAGCTCTGCCCACTACTCCTCCCCTCCTTTCTCCATTCACAGAAGGCTTTGTATTTTGTGAATGGGTTACTGTAATACAAAGCATTCTGTGATTGGACAGGATTGGGAGAGGAGCAGACAGAGCAGCTGCATACAAGTCTGCAGAAGCTGAAACCAGAAGGTCCAACATGGTAGCACCAGAAGTATAGCGATAGCTACGCTCCTGGTGCTCAGTAAAAATGTTATTTGTAAATGAATGAAGTAAGTCCACAAGGTGGAATACACCTGATTCGACTTAACCCATACTAATCTGGCATATTTTAAAAAGAAGCTGATTTCCAGGAGTTCAGCTTTAATGAGCTGTTAGTCTAGTTCAGAAGACTTTTTATGAATATTTATTCACAGGATGATGTTTGTGCTCCAACGAGTCAGATCTCAAATATAGTTTTGAAGCCTCATTTTGCTGTTTTAATTTCTCTAACCTTACCTCCTGTTGTATTGCAGGCGACAGGTTGAGTGGGAGCCTGCCAGCAATTTGATAGAAGGGGTTTGTTTGACACTTCAGAGGCAGCCAATCATATCCTTCCTGCCTCACCTTAGGTCACTGATCAATGTGTGTGTGAATTTGGTGAGTAGGTTTGTATTGGAGGGCCCTCCGTTTTGTAACTGGGTCACTGTCCTACACATCTGTGATTATTTCCTGCATGCTCCGTGGAGCCCTGTGTGAGGAAGTACTTCAACGTGTGTTGTTTACATTCAGCGGTGTTTGTTTCCTGTTCACATTATTTCCATTTGATCTAAATGCCTGACCTACATTGCATTTACTTTACAGGTAATGGGTGTTGTGGGTCCCTCTAGTGTTGCAGATGGATTACCTCTCCTCCATCTTAGTCCATACCTTTCCCCTCCTCTACCCTTCAGTACAGCAGTTGTCAGGCTGGTAGCACTGCAGATACAGGTTAGTACGTGGCCTAGTTTGTATATAATTACATTTTTAATTTTTGATGATACCTCAACTACGTCTTATGTGTGTTGTGAAGACCTACAGATACTTTTACCCAGGACCTGCTTGCACAGCTCAGTATACACTCTCAGCATACACTCTCAGCACAATGTCATTGTGCCAGGATGAATGACTACTGTGTGCATGTGTGGGGGTCCCAACATCCCCACCAGCCCATCAAGAGGCTGAAAACCCAGAAAAAGTCTGGGGAGAAAATCCCTGCAAGGTACCCAACAGTCTCATCGCTGGAGCAAAGGTGAGTATTCTGTTGACTGTAGTTCCACTTTAAATGGATTCTTGTCATTAAGCTTTGTGTTAAAGGTAACCTATAAAAAAAAATAGAGGCTACCATTGCTTTTTCTTGAAAATTACCAGATTTCAGCTGTTAAGTGGTCCAGTGGCTTTGATACTATTAGAGATTCTGACCTGAAACAAGGATACAGATCAAGTGTCCTAACTTCACTTTGACCTTGTAATCTATATGCTTGCTCCAGGTTAAGCCCCATACACACGATCAGAAAATCTTATAAAAAATGTCATTTTCAATGGGTTCGTACAACGATTTGGATTGTTAGTACACAGCAATCATCTGAAATTACTCAAAGGGACAAGAAGAAAATTCTTTGTTGTAGATACCAGACCGTTCCATTTTCATTTAACCAGTACAGTTTTTATCCAAAAATACAATACAAATACATTAGAATACATTACATTACATCACTTTCGAATTTTTATTCTGTCATATAAGAGTTTTAACTTTAGTAACCTCTTCACTTTTGATATAAGGCTCTATGTACACTGCAGCTGATAAACTCACGTATAGGAGTTTTCCTGCGTTTTTTTTCAGAAGCACCTGAACTCTCCCTAATGTTTTCCTATGTGTCCATGTACATTATGTCGTTTACAGTCATTTACAGGCAGTCGAGTGTACAGTCTGTAACTGCGTTTCTAAGCGTTTGGAAAAGTTTTTTAACTCTTCCATTTCCAGATGCTGTCCAGAGCCTTTTTTCATCAAGAAAAATGCATGCAAAGCATTTTCCTGGTACTCAAATGGACCTGGTACACCATACTTTGAGGTTTCGCATGAAAGAAAATATGTTAGACACTGCTGCAATAATTTCTGCACAGAAATGAGCTTGAACACATCCAAACACCACAAAAAAAGACATCTAATCTCAATACTGCTCTCTCTGCTTCTGCTCTCTCTATTTCTCTCAAAATGTCTGAAATAGTTCATTTTTTGCTGTTTTTGCAGTGCATTCTGGGCATTTTGGAAGGTCTCCTGAGGTTATCTTTAAAAAACGCTTCTAAACGCAAATGCTCATAAATGCGCATAAACGCGGTATGCAAAAGCGGCTAAACAGACTTTTTAACCTACATTTTCCAGCAGTCAGTTTCCATCATTCAGAAGTGTTTTCCAAACGTCCCATGTACATGGAGCCTAAGACTAGCATGCAACAAAACCGGACAATCATTCATCGGATATTCTCAACGTGTATTCGGGGCTTTAGTGGTTTAAGAAGTACTGAAGCCAGAGATAGCCAGGAAACGAACAATTTCAAAAAGAGGTTGGCAATGGCAGCACCAATTATCTAAGCACAGGATCCTTTATGTCTGTGGGGGCATAATCTTACACCCAGCTCCTAGTTGATCTGAGATTAGGTCGTCAGTACTTGATGTATGAAATCTTTTGTGACATTATATTTATTTATACTAAATCTATAAATTCAACATTTTATAAATAACCTTTTTATGTGATGCTATGATTTATGTGTGTGCTTTAGGCTTTAAAGGAGGATTTCCCCTTGAGTCATGTGATCTCACCTTTCACTAATTTGGAAAGACGCGAGGGGATGCTTCTCAACCTGCTAATTCCTTTTGTGTTGACAGTTGGATCAGGAAGCAAAGGTTTGGCATATATGACATACTGTATCATTCCATTCTTTTTTATTGCTTATCAGTTCTTTGTTAATTTTATTGCTGTCATTTTTACTAGTAGTTTTTTTTTATAATGTCAATATCTGCTATGGAACTGTGTAGAATAAAAAACTAAACATGAGCCCTTTGGTACTTGAAAACCAAAAAAAAAGCAGAATGAAAATGAATGCTGAAGATTTTCTTAATATTGCTGTGCACCATTTCCACCTCCAGACAATTAAGCTGCTAAGCAGCACAATGATTAAATCATCCAAAAAATATATGTTTCATAATGTGCTGCGCTATTATGAAAATGTGCAGCAAATATCACTTAAAGTGTTACTAAACCCACAACAGTAAAATCAGTCTCTGTATGCAGTAAATCATGCTTGTTATACTCACTGTGGAATATAAGGTGTCATTCTCCGCATTGTGTAAAAAGGCTGTTTGATCTTGTCTTCTCTGATCCTCCCCTTCTTTTGATGTCTCCAACCATTTGCATAGTTAGAGCAGCAGTGGTAAGTCTGCACATGCTCTGTTTGGTGTGTCTTGCTAGAGAGGGTGCATGTGGTCATCACAGGGCCAATCCAAACAGGGTCAGGGGTTATGCAGCCTCATATGACTTTCAGAGGAGAATGAAAACTTCTATAAGATTAACCAGTGCTCGGCTGAACACTGATAGAAGTTACAAGACTGCTATATACTGCTAATGAAAAAAGGTATTTAGCAGTTTATATCTACTAATTGCATTTCCATGTTCTGTATGCTGTGGAAGACATAATATAGTGAATGCATGCTCATGGGTTTAGTAACACTTTTAGTACCGTCAAGTAAAAAGATTCCATGAATAAGTAAACATCAATATCAAATAAAATAAAATACTTTTTTGAATGATTTGTATCATTTTGTTCATAGCAGCTTTATTATATGGAAATAAACCAGAATGATGGATGCAGTGAATGAAATAAATAAATTAAGCTGCATTCCTTTTTGTCTATCCCTATCATGAATCTTGCAAATGATAACTGTATAGAAACTGCTTAAAAATATTCAAAAACATTTAAGTGAATGTTGGTATTCACACTATAGTACAAGCAAAGTTGCGTTTTTATTAAATACTGTACAATGCAAGGTAAAGTTGACTTATCATTAAAATGTATACTTCATGTAAATCAAATGGTCACGTGTTAGAATTAACTTTTTGTGCAAACTACATGTCTGGGCAGCCTGAATAACATCGTTCCTGACTACCAAGACAATCAAAAAGGCTGCTACCATGTTCTACACAGAAACAATGCCTGCCATAAATTAACTGACATTGTAAGACTCTTTATGATACAGTATGTTGATGTCTTTTACATGTACAGTAAATCTAAGAAACATTTTAAAAACTATACTTACAGTTTAATTTTGTTTTCCCCTTTGTGCACCTTAAGCTGACCTTAGATAGTAGAGGCCAGCTGAATGCACAGAGGTATGGTTAAACCACTCTTAGGCATCTTTCCCATCCAGTGCTTTACCAAATGCAACTGTTTTTGTTTAGCCCAGTGTTTCTCAACTTTTTTTCAGTCAAGCCACCCTCTAAAATTATGGACAGTCTCAAGGCATCCATTCTAAAATGTAAAAAACAATTCTAATAGATTTATATAACACAGCAACACCCACACACGTAGGACATCCAACATTAGAGGTGATTTATTCTTCCAAAGCAAATGCACTTTTGCACATTGGTTCTGACTAGTATTCCAATGGAGGAGATGGACAGGGGAGGGTCAAAGAAGGATGCTGTGCAGGCAACCTACATCCTCCTTATCAACTGATGATGTCATTGGTTGTTAGAACGCCAGCGGCTAGAAGGTTGTAATGGTGCACAATGAAAACCTCTGATTTTGTGTAACTAAAAGGCAGGCTTGTTATACCCGCTGGTTTGTATACCAGTTTTGGGTAATTTTTAGACATTTTGCCAAGGCACCCTTGAAGGAAACTCAAAGTACCCCAGGGTGCCTGGGCACCCTGGTTAAAAGAGGCTGGTTCAGCCTATTAAGCAGGATGGGAAGAATTGGGAAGAAGCACTATAGATAATCATACAAGGCTTTCTAACCTGTCCAAATACAACTGCCCCAGAAAAGGCTTGAAACCCCAGGTATTAGATCATCACCTAGTGAGGCCCCCTGTCATCCAATGTCAGGGAAGACCTTAAAGATGAGACACATCCCCCTGTGTTTGATTGTTTCCAGAAGGATGTTTTTGGAGTACAGATGTAGAGAGGCTTTCTTTTTTTAAAAGCATCAGCTGTCTCAAAATGTTTGCATCTTCTACCTGCTAAGATCTGTTTTGTAATTTCTGCAATCTCTCAGATAGCCCCTGTCTGGAGCAGCCTGAAGTCTTCTTGCTGTTGCAGACTGTGATAAATATTCTGCTGCCTCCACGTATCATAAGCACTTCCCGTAGCAAGAACTTTATGCTGGAAAGTTCACCTGCACACTGTTCTACCCCTGGTGATGCTGGGAAAGATCTTCGAAGGGAAGGACTTGCAGATTCTACCAGTCAAGCTGCTTATCTTGGTAAGGTTCTGTAAGCCAATGGTTTATTTTTTTGTTTACATTATGCAGCCTTTTGTCCCACAACTATCTACGTTCTCATAATCACAAAAAGAATGCTCTTCATACAGCGGTTAAAGCGACCCTGTTACCAACTTAAAAAGGTGCACAGAAAAAGTATTTTAAATGTTTACTTGCAGTGTTTTCCTTTCCATAAATTTCAAATCATCATTTTTATTAATTTGCAAAATAACTTTTAACTTGTTAGAAAATTAGACTAGTTGACTAGGCCAGGAAGAGACAATTTCCTAGCTGAGCTCCAACCCTACTTGCATATTTTAGGGCCCCTGCCCTTCTGGGAGTGTGTAATTATTTTTTGTTGTGGCCCAACATACCCCAACACCACAAACACACACATACACACTTCAGCTCCCTACATTACCTTATTTTTTGAAGTGGGCAGTGAAGGAGCGAAGGGGGAATACTGTCACTTGAGTAGCAGGTCAGAGTCTCGTGGCACTAAGGGAGGCTTTTACGGGTAAAAACTTGCATTAAATGTAATTAAAAAGTTTTTTTTTGTAGAAATTACTTGTCTGGTGACACTTTAACACTGCCTTGGTGGACTAGGAATAGCTATTGTCAGGAGATGTAGACATTTTTTAAAAAAAGCTTTCTATAAACATGCTTCAGTTAAATGTGCATGTTCATGTACTAAGCATACGCCCTTGACTATATCTCATTGGGAAATAATAAAGAAAGTTCAGAAAAGTATATCTGAACAGTCAATTTTTTTGTATTTTTTGTTGTATAGACATACTGTATATAAAGGTCAGGTAGTGATCATACTATTTCTATGCATAACTGAAGTATGTCAGATTCCATAATATGCTGGTCATAGAGCACCAGTTACTGTATAGATCAAAATAGAGATTCCATATTGTTCACGTCAGTTCTGATTTGCTACAATAAGAGGTCTCAAGAAAAGGTTAACTTTAGCTGAAAATGGAAAAAGCCTTTAGGAATGATATTTAGCACAATTCTCCACTCTCACCTCAATCATTTATTCTTTTTTTTACAGCTCTGAAGGTTATTTTGGTCTGCTTTGAACGCCAGCTGGGAAGTGAATGGTATCAGCTTAGCCTGCAAGTTAAAGAGATGGCTCTGAGAAAGGTGGGGGGATTGGCTCTCTGGGACTTCCTCGATTTCATTGTAAGAACTCGGATCCCAATATTTGTTCTCCTTAGACCTTTCATCCAGTGTAAGGTGAGCAAATGTCTAATGGTGAATGCTATTGTTGGAATATTTCAAGCTTTTAGTTCAGGTCAGCTCTACGTTTTTCATAGCAAAGTCAAGTATTTTGTTCTAAACAGCAACATTTAACTGTGTCTATATTTTGAAAATATTGGTTTATAAGGATGAATTTTTCTCCCACTCCCCCACTAGTTGCTAGCACAGCCAGCAGAGACTCAGGAAGAGCTGAGTGCACGACAGCACATTGCAGACCAGCTGGAGAGGCGTTTCATCCCTAGACCTCTGTGCAAGAGCTCCCTTATAAATGAATTCAATAATGAGTTGAAGATCTTGAAGGAGGCAGTTCATAGTGGTTCAGGTAAGACTTGGACAATCCTAAATGTGCATTTTAAGCATCATGTATAAACTAGACATCCATTTAGTTTAAAAGAGAAGTGCGGGAATCAAAATTAATAAACATTTATATTCAACTAGATGACTGCAGCATTGATCCAAGCTGCAGTGTTCCCATGCTGTCTCTACATTGGGAACCAAGCAATCAAAGATTACTGATTGCTCAGTTCTCACGACCTCTCTGTTCTCTGCCCCTCCAGTGCTCACTGGAGTGCCAGGCTGTGGAGGGGGCTGGAACGGCTGGCTCAGGCTATCAGCAGCACACTGAGAGGCTAAGCCAGCTGCCAGTCAGGCTTCTGGACAGATCCCAATATTATTTTTGGAATCCCTGGACCAACTCTGTGACGTCAGCTGACAGTAGACCTTAGCACACTTTAGTAGTGCAGAACTAAGTGCACTCCTGTGACCCACAGGAGAAGTATGGCCAAAAGAGTTTTGGCCATACTTCACCATTAACATAGGCTAGCCTAAAACTGGATCAGCCAACACATATTTGTGGATCTAACTATGGAAAACTTGCTATGCGTTAGCATTTTCCAATCATGCTCCTTGAATCATACACCAGGAATGCATTATGAAAGGCTTTGCTTAGTGGATTTTCTCACTGCCTACAGTGTTTCTAGCGAAGCAAACCTCTTACTTTTTTCACGAAAAATGTATAAATTTGATGATCTTAATATTCACATGCATCTGATTCACTAGATATTAGAATACAAAGCTAATTTCACAGTATTTAAACATTTTAAAATTAGGTTTTATTTTTTTACCATCATCTGCACATTTGTGTCCCTTTTAAAAGAGAGCTGTGGGTGTGAAGAAGGAAAGTGAAGAGAGAGCTATAAGAAGGTAGATTATAAAGCAAATTAGAAAACAGTCAGCATGTTAATACTAAGGTGGAATGAATCAGCAAGTAAATTATAGAAAGAGGGGGGAAGTGAAGCAGATATTATATAGAAAGTTAATAGAGGAGAGCAGAAAAATATATAAGGTAAGAAGTATACAGTCCGGTCATGGCTATCCGGTGAGTTTTCTGTGGTGAAGGTGGTGGTACGTGGGTGATTCGTATTCACTGAAGAACTGAGGATTATTGCAATGGAATAAGAGTACTTTACACTTCACAGTTTACATACACTTTATCGTTTGATTACTTTTAATTTTTTTGTTCATTAACACAGGATATTTCACTTTGTATCTTTTTTATATATTGTGTATGATATTTTGAGTTGCTTTGATGCATAAGGATTGTGGATTATTTAATACCTAGTGCAGCTACATTGGGTTACACATAGATCCACACATTGAAAGTGTGGTGGGAGCAGCAGCTTGGTCTGGTTTGCTATACATATTTTTATTGTGAATTACACTTAGAAGGAGGGCACCTGTGGTGTGGGTTTGTTGTTTTAAAAAATGGAGTGTCTGCTAAATACAAAAGAAAATTTAAGAAGAGATTTTGCTGAACTATATACAACGTATAAAACAGACACCACAGAGAAGGACCATGATTGTATGAAGAACTTTCTCTGCCCATTATAGGCAGAGAACAGCTTTGCTTTTGAGATTGTTCATTTTTTAGGTTTGCCATCGGTTTATGGTTTAGATTTGCAGCTAGGGTTATCTTTAGGCACAAATCATGTTTGTGTGTTTTAATGTGGTGAATATTTTTTAAATCAGCTCACCTCATATTTGAAGAGTTTCCAAAAGTACATCCATGGCACTAAGACAATTTAGATACATTTAAGATTTTATCTGACATTTCTGTTATAGCTATTCTAGAATATATTCTGATTATGTTGATTTGCAAATGGTGGAAGGTAAAGAGGCTCTTATCTCTCTATTTGTCTAACTTCTTTTTTAAGCATATCAAGGGAAGACATCCATCAGCACAGTTGGGACCTCCACCTCTGCTTACCGTTTGAGCTTGGCCACAATGTCTCGCTCTAACACAGGAACTGGAACAGTGTGGGAACAGGACAGCGAACACTCACAGCAAGCCTCACAGGACACACTCAGTCGCACTGATGAAGAGGAGGAAGAAAGTAAGTTGAAGAGCCCAGTAATAAGGAGCCCAAGCAGGCTATTTTAGCATAAGTGGATATCGGACAGCATATTCAATAAATAACTATTATTTATTCTTAAATTTATTTTTACATTTATAATTATAACATTCCAACATGGGTCAGTGTTTAAAAACTTACCATAGGTTCTCACTTTTCCTAAGCTACTAAAAAAAAATTATTTCTTTCTGTCCCTTTAGATGACTCTGTGAGCATGCCCAGTGTGGTAAGTGAACAGGATGCGTACCTCTTGAGTGCCATTGGTAGAAGACGTTTCTCCAGTCACACATCCAGCATGTCTGTTCCCCAGGCTGAGGGTGGCATGCTTCCCAGCCAAAGGTAAACTGTGCTGTCCATCCATCGCATAATTTCTAAAATTTATATAATGGAAATAGCTGAACCATGTCATGCTTCTGGTGCAATATGTTTTCAAGAACATTATATAATGGCAAAACATTTTTTTACGGTGTTCTCTGTGAATCTATGGCTCCATTGACAGTTAGTTTTTTGCATTTATTCTGCATTATTACAATGCCAAAATGACTAATTACAGAGCATCTGGAAGGTGTGGATGTAAAAATTACATTGTTACAGGTATCATCTACAAGACAAGCTCTATAAGGGAGCTGTGCATGTGTCAGTCTTACTAATTTGAAAAATTATTTAATTATTCAGCAAACTGCATGTTATGATGATTAGATTAAATGGGAATATTGCAAGATCATCATTAAGAACATTATAATCAAGACTTGTGAGCTGCTATATCAGATACTTCGTGCCAAACCAAAATACAATTTAGTGGATCGCCTACACCTAATACATACAAATGTGCCTTCTACATATATTACCAAAATGTGCCGTGTTACACTTTTACCAATAGAATTCATAAATATGTGCAATTTCACTCAAATAATATATAAGTGCAATTTTACATAAATCCACTATATAAATAATAAAAAATTGTCCATATATAATTCTTCACAATTCTTGTGTTCTCTTTAATATTTATATTTAGTGCTTCTTAATCCATCTTCAGTGTCAAAATTCACTTCAAAACCTGTGCACCCCCACCGGTTGTGCTCTCACCTCAAATACATGACCAAACCGTTAAGTGAGGTCATATAAAGCTTGTGTTCCTTTAATTGGACCAAGTGTGGATGGGATGGTATTCAGCTGAATAGGATCCCGTTCGCTCATCTAGCGGCTCTCCTCCATCGGTGGGTATGTTAAGAGAATAACCAGATCATAGTGCTTTATCCTTAAACACTCATTTATTAGTATACAGTAGTACACCCACATGATCAATATACAGAAGCGCTTTGTGCAATAAATTGCTTCCTGAATTTTAGCAGTGGTGATAACCTGTGTGCAGCCAGCTGGTCTCACTATAGAACCATCGAGCATCGTAACGTAAAAGCCCCTCCCCTACGCGTTAAGTCACTTGGCTTTATCAGTGGGAATGATTGGATGACACTCCGCTTGTTAATCTTTATAGTAGCCATTTTATAGTAGCCTGCATGGCATCAGCCATGTCTCAACAGTCTGCTGCACACCAAGCAAAAATCCGACAGCACTGCCACTATCAATTCACAGTACAATGACTATCTATTGTTTTTAGCTAACCCTTCTCTAGAATTAGAGTTTTATATCGAAGTTTACATCCACATATAGTCCGGGATGCCAACTCTTTACATACTGCCTTAGAGCCATTTTATAGGAGCCTGCATGGTGATTGCCATGTTCCTGTGATCTGCTAACATTATACAATAAACCAACATCTCCGCTGTTATTAAGTTGCTAATGCATATTATAAAACTGATACATATCTATTGTGGCTAGCCTCATAGTTTTATTTAGATTTTATATTGGTGTTCAAATCCACAAAGTGTGCTGGACTGCTGTGTATCACCATACCACCTACTCTGGGATGTGAGCACCGCTACCCACTGCTGCAAAAAAAAAAAAACAAACAAAAAGAACAGCAATAAGCGTGGGGTAATATTTGATGGATTATGTACTATTGTAAACCTACCCCCTTAATGAGTGCAATTAATAATTAAAAGACCAATATTTATTACAATATACAAAACAAAAATTTTAAACTGAGATTAAATAAATTAAATTTAAAATATGTAAAATTTAAATAAAATAAAATATTAAATGATGTTTAATAAAATTTATAAAAAAAATTAAGTTTTTAATAAAATATTTTAGAAGGAAATTTATGAATTAGCATAAAGATTGGATACACAGATCATGCATATCCAGCTAATTTATACAAAATATTTGTTAAAAACTAATCATAAATAAATATTAAAACATAAGCAAAATGATATCTCACCCCCTGTTTACTAAGTATTACCAATGAAGCATGTCAAGTCAAACTCCTTATTAAGACCCAGTGGTGCCAAACATTTAATTTCCTAAATCCACTTTGATTCCTTTTTGCTAACTTCCCTGATCTTGATATCTCCTCTCCAGTGACTTGTGTGTTTCTCTATACCCCAAAACTGTAGTTGACTGGCATCTTTATTATGTGTCGTATGGAAGTGCAACAAAAAATTATGATGTTTGTATCCCCTGTTAATATTATAAACATGTTCTTTTATTCTGTTCTTTTATTCTGTCCTATATTTGAGATTGCAGGGACATTTTAGAGCATACACCACTCCTTTAGTTTCACATGATATAAATTGTTTAATAATGTATTCCTTCCCTGTGTTTGGGTTTTGGAATGAAGATCTTCTTTTGAGATTATTTTTGGCCCTACTACAGCTGTAGCATCTCCCACATGCGTAGAATCCTGTGCCTTGGAAAAAAGTGGGGTTGGGTATTAGGTTAGGTGGTTCTATAACATTTTTAACTAATTTATCCCTTAAGATCCCTTGGATTAAGAAGCACTAAATATAAATATTAAAGTGAACACAAGAATTGTGATGAATTATATACGGACAATTGTTTGTTATTTATATAGTGAATTCATTATTAAGAAGAGTTTTGTTATGGCTGTCAGCACCAGCTTGGTAAACGTATATTAAACCGCAAGATCTCTTAAGACAGTGACTCATATAAGACAAATTAGGTAATTTACATCCTGAAAATGTAGTATATGTATTTCACTATTGTAAAATTACAGTAATGAGGAGATATGCCTTTTTGCTTTGACAAAGCTATTATTATTATTGTATTGACCATTGTGAAATAGTTCCTCTGATTTCTCAGCTGTAAATTACTAAAAAAAAAACCTGTGTTACAGGTTACAGCATTTTTTCTTACATCGTGCAAATTTCTCTTTTTCAATTAAATTTCCTGCCAGTAATCTTTATTGTCCTATAAAATCTGGTTCCATGTTACAGTTGTCAGAAATTTAGTTTTACTTGTGTACTAATGTTCATTAGCAGAGGTAGACAGTCATAATATAAAGAACAGTTCAGGCAACTGCATCATGGAAAAGCATGTGTTTCTTGTTTTGTGAGACAACTTAGCTGGAACCAAGAGAAATCTTAATGAGTAGGGACTGTTTTAATTTGATTCACTGTATTTCTGCACATTGATTAGGTATACAACTGCAATTTATGGCTGTTTTCTATGGACAGTTGTTACTAATTCTTCAAGTCCTTGTGCTTATATTAGTTGTATTTGTGTCTGCTATTGCTTACCATATACAATTTACAGTCTCACATTTTATTGTTGATATTGAAATCATTTGTGTAACAGAGGATAGCTCTTCATGTCTGTTAGTGTTTAGGTGCTCTACTATAGCATTACATTCATGATGGCTATCGTATTATTAAAGCAGCAGAGCTAACATTTTTCATGTTTCCAAAACTGTCCTATTAACTCTATGATTTCAGATTGAATGCCAGATATAATTTCTGGTCAAGAGCTATTGGTAACAACCAAACGACCACCAGTCATAAGTGCGAGTGATGTAAATGTGCTTTCTGTGCAAGTTTGTAAGAAAAGTCTTTAGAGTAGAGTCACAAGCCATCTTAGGTGCTTTAGGTATGTTATACAGAATCCCCCTAAAACATTCCTGCTGGAATAGCATTAGCCATTTCTAACAAAGATGAGCTGGATACAATGGAATCATTTTATTGGCTACCTGGACAAGGAACTCCTTAGAATTCTTTAAGAAGAGCTTGATCTGTGCTTAAAAACTTTGAACTGCCATTTTGTATGGCTACTTTTTATCTCCTGTGCCATAGGCGGATTCAAACTTACAAAGATTGATCTTCAAGGCCATCGACACTGCAAGTTATTTACTCTTTCAAGTAGAACCAAAAGTAATTAAAAGAACCACGTTACCCCAAAATACATGTGAAATAGATACTTATACTTTTCACAATGTGTATGTGAGATTACATAGAAGTCGTACTGATAAGATAATCTGCTCAGTACCGAAAAATATTGCTTTCACCCCTCAAATACCTGTTTTAAGGATCTTCTCTTTTGATATTCTCCTGAAATTTTTCAAATGTATCTGTAGATGCAGAACCCCTGAGGATAGAAAGAAAACTGTCACTGCTAACTTACAAGTATGCAGAATGAAAGTTGAAACTCTTCAGACTTCCAATTTACCAACCTAATAGAAAGATGATGAGGGATGACACCCATATATATGCTCCTCTCCTCCTGACATACCCCTCTACTTAAACCACTACCCTTGGTACCTCTCCACCACTCTGCAAAGATTTATATTTATTGAAATACAATTCAAAAATGTTAGCCCTACATATTGTAAATGTATACCTCTCACCATTTTCAGTTATATTATAGCTAATTGCATCATCACAATATACAGAAGAGTTTAAAATTTTATATATTTCACAACATACTGTACATTATATATTGCAAACACCTTACTGAACATTTGTAAAACCTCTCTGGGTTTGGCCTAATGTAAACTTTTAATAAAGATATATTGAAATACAACTTTTTAAGCTTCACTGGCTGCAGGTTTGTTTCATGTCAGTGACCCACTAACCGATGGAACTAGAATCTGGGTTACAGCCCAGAGCCTGCACTTTCAAAAACAACTCAGCAGTGGCAACTCCTATTTTTCTAAACTTGATTTCACTTCAAATCCTTTCTCATTTGAACCAACTCATTAAAATTACATAAGTTGGGTATAGTGGCCCCTAACTGGCTTCTGCCTAAAAAGAAGCACACATGCTAATTATCTCACTGTGACCAATACTGGAATCTGGGATCCAGAATAAATAA